CGGCAGTGACATGCCACGTGTGACATTGTAAGCAACCGGCAGTGACCTGGTAAGCAATCGAATGTGATTGGCTTGTAACACTGTAAGCAACCTGCAGTGATCACTTTTAACACCGTAAGCAACCTCTGTAACACGTGTAACATCCTAAGCAATCGGCAGTGACCTGCCACTTGTAACACCATAAGCAGCCAGCACTGAAGTGCCACTTGTAACACCACAAGCAACCAACAGTGACCTGCTATCATCAAACATAAATACAAGCAGCGAGCTGCACCACCAAATACAGGTGGTGAGCAGTGGTTCACCGAACAAACTTTGAGACCTAACCGGAGCTGCAAATGAATATCAATAAAAGGACAAGAGGTTGTGGAAATGGATCCAGAGCAACGAAGGGGAAAGGTGAATAAGGACAAAGGTGACCGAGGCCCAGAGGTAGAAGTTGTCCCTCCAGAGCTGAACAACCACGACTTTACGGCAACAGAAGCTGAAGGGGGCCACCCTCTGCCTGAATGCTCAGCACCTGACCAGAATCCTGGGTCCAACATGATGGCAGAAGTGCGACAAACTGTGACTGAAATGCTGGAGGCGTATTTCACAAAGGGAGAAGAAAGGGAAGCAGCATGACGTTTGGAGTTTGGGAATGGCAAATTTGAACAGTCAGAAGGTTCTCAGAACGATTATGGGGACACAAGTCCTGGATGAATACCGACTGCAGATGCTATTTGTGAAGTGGAAACAATAATAAATAGTCGAACCATCACACCTGCGACGAGCGACATGAGAGACCTGGAAGCGTTTACACCAGCCCACATTCTCCACGGTGGCCCACATGCTGATCTGCCATTAGGAGGATGTCTTCTGCAAGACTTACATCAACGACGGTGGCGGCACGTGCAGTTCCTAGCAGACCGCTTCTGGAAACGCTGGGTGAGGAAGTCCCTTCCACTACTCTGCAAAAGACAGAGGTACAGTACATAGAACCAACCTGTAATCTCCAGAAAGGCGACCTTGTCTTCGTCACCGGAGAAGATCTTCCTCGCAACAAACGGCCATTGGGAAGGGTCACGACAAGTCCCGGGAGCCAATGGTCTGGTGCGCCAGGTGCTTGTGCAAACCGTATCTGGGGAGTTCCAAAGGCCAGTGACCCGTGTACACCTTATTGAACACGACACACCGTAAATCTTGGGCGATTGCCCAACGCCAGGAGTGTTATCGCCGCTGCCTTCAGCTACAGTGCTGGCGTGTGATGCCATTAAATCTTTCGACCTGTGACCTCGCCAGATGTAGAAGTGTTTACAGACAAGTCCTGGTTCTGCTGAATGGACTGTCTTAGACTGGTGGCAGTGGCTGCCCACCCCTCCATGAGACAGATCGCCCTCTCTAGTGATGCTGTAAAGACCAGCCTTCTCCTGTCCGAGAATTTGTGCTGGGACGATTTACGCAATACTGTTTTCTCTTGGAACACCATACTGATCTGCATTGACCCGCACTTATAAGTACAGCCAACATGATGACATACCCCTCGGTACTGAAATATTGTCGACTAATTACGCCTACTCGTTTCTGCCTAACCTGGAGTAATAAGACAATGCAGAATAAAACGAAGCTAAGATTAATAGAGTTATGAACTTTGTGTTATGTCAGTACGTTTAATAAATTGTAATTAAGATAAAATTGTGAGACTAACTAATTATGTATCAGATGGATCACCTTGTAATATTATGAACGCCTTCTCCTCTGTAGGTTTTGATCACATCAATAAATATTGAATGCGTCAAAAGACGGGTTTCAATCATTCCCTTCGACTTACCCGTAACCTGAACGTTCTTAACTAAGGAGTTTACAATTAGCATTGAAAAATGTCAGTAAAATCATTCAAGGGTCATTTTGCCAAATAATTACGCTGCAATCGAATCGTGGAGCACATATTCATAATCAGCAAGCTCAGGAGTACCCATACTGTGACTTTCAGCAAAATCTAATTTTGGGCCAAAAACCACAAAAAATGTACGTAAGTCTTACACCAGTGGTGTCAAACTCAAAACCTTTCGAGGGCCAATTCTTATTTTAGTTACCCTCTTCTGGGCCAACACAAGTGCTACATCACATATTTGCAGAATTGAAGTTGACAGCTTCACACAGTGCCTTACCAGGAATACCTGATTTGGGTTTGTCTGATCTTAAGTATGCAAAATTCATTTTACTAAATAAACATGATTATATCTATTTCTTTCACAATTTCACGGGATGATAAATTTTACCGTCATCCTGCGGGCCACACCTGACCATCCCACAGGCCAGGAGTTTGACACCCCTGGTCTAAATGGTCGTAAAATGGGAAAATTGGGGTTGGGTCTTGGGTGCCTGGAACCAATTAGAATAAATCCCATAGGTTCTGTACTTTCGTTATCACGCACTCGGCGCGGTCCCAATTAGGCGTGATAACCTAGGGATGACTGTACAGGGAACAGTTTTTGTGTGCCCTTCAGCTGATTGAATCACCTAACAACGTTTCTCAGTTTAACTTTGTTTACAGTGGAGTGAACATCAAGTTTGTTGGTCTCTTGAATATTTTTGCATTTTTACATTAAAATTCTTAGTCATTCTGAAATTTAGTTAACATATTGATGATATACGGTGAAGAAATTTTTATGAAACATGAAGACGGCATTAGAACCAAACACACTGTAAAGAATATGGCATGTCATTATTGACTGCCTCTACAAACAGCTGTTTGACATGTAAACAAAGCTGCCGGGAATATGACATACACACCTCAAAGTAAGTTAAAATACAGTATTCAATTGTTTATTTATTATTGTACAGTATACTGTACAGTACAGTACTGTATTTAGTTTATATTTAATGTTTTGTTAATTCTATTACTGGTATACAGTACTTTGTACAGTGACCCCTCGTTTAACAAACGCCTCGGTTAACGAACTGCCTTCCATAAGGATCTTCAATTCGGTTAATAAACAAAAATTTGGTTAACGAATTTCTTACGAACCGAGCTCAACATGTTTTCGCTTGCACTCACCGGGCAACCAGCTTTAGTATCAGTCCGGCAATACATTAATCGGTTCTAGGGCTTAAATTCCTTACTATTTTAGTAAATATCAAGAAGTTTATACTATTCAATAATTTTAAGTTTAATATTAACTTTTTTAGTCATTTTAACAATTATTGAAGGTAAAGAAACTAGTTTCTGGCGTGCCATCCAGCCTGTTAACACACCAGACAGGCGTTAGTCTCTCTCTGTTTTCAGTGGAGGTAACATCTTGCTTGAGACTCTCTTCAACTAAACACTTTTTTTCTGTGTTTCCAAGCAAATTATTGGTCATTTTGAAATATATTTTACATATTGACAATATATAATGCAGTGCAGTGTTGATTTAAAGAAAATAATCTTGAAATACACCAAGAGAACTAAAATTTTATGGATGAAATGGTGCCATGGGGTGACTTCTCTTCCACCCCAATGCCTTTTCTTCTTCCTTCTCCTCCACCCCCATTCTAATTCCATCATCATCATCCAGGAGCCTTCTACATACACACCTCAAAGTAAGTGAACTTTTCTACCATTTTTGTTGAATTTAGGAAATTTTCGGTGAGCTGGAACCAATTACCCAAAAACCCATTGAAACAATGGTTTTGGTTAGCGAACGACCTTCTGGAACGGATTGAGTTCGTTAACCGAGGGGTCACTGTATATACTTTTTCTGAGAGTTGGAACCAATTACCCAATATCCCATTGAAATAATAGATTCAGTTAACAACCGACTCTGTGGATCCAATTGTGTTTGTTAATCAAGGGACCACTGTATATAAATATATTGCGTGTGTGTGGACATTTCTATGTGTATTTAATTATAAAAACAAATAAGGAAAATGTAATATATAGTTGATAAGTTTAAAAGTAAACACTGGCTGTTACAACCCTGACATATTTTGCATGTAGTATGCATTATAATTTAATATATTTTCTGTTAACTGGGTATATAATTATGTGATTAAACAACATAGCATACATTTTTTAAGTTATCAACTCTTGCCATATGGTATAACTGTGTACTATTTCATATCTGACATGTACTGTATACGTCATTTAATTAATTTTCTATACCTGGGGTATACGAGGTTAAGCAACATCATATACAATTTTCCAAGTTGATGTTTGATATACAGTTATGGTAATATTTTTTATATAAACACCATTGATGAGAAAGCTGCCTCATAGACAAAGGTAGTTCCAAATTTAACAGAACCTTGATAGCTTGATTTTTAACTGGCAAATGTCTCTGATAAAATAATCCAAAATTTTGATATGTTATCATAGACATCAGGAACCACCGTTGCCCCATTGTCAGCCTGTAATTCTAACATCTTGAGCAAAAAGAGCTACACTGTTTTAACCCTCTTGCACATCGGCGACGCAATTTGCGTCAAATCATTTGTATTGGTGATGCAAATCACGTCATTAAACTTTACCGTTTAATGATATGATTTGCATCACCAGTGCAAATGATTTGATGAGTTGCATCATGATGAGCTGGAGTGTTAAAATTTAATGATGCAATTTGTGTAATCGATGCGAATAATCTGGCGCAATTTCTGCCATGAAGCACAAGAGGGTTAAAGTTTAATGAGGCGATTCATGTTCAGTAATTTACATCAGTGAAACGAATTGCATCATTAAACTCTAACCCCTAGTTTAACGACACGATGCAAATGATTTGACACAATTTGCATCATGATGCACAAGAGGGTTTAATGAATACTGTATAGAAGCTACAATTTGGTTAATGTTTTTCATGAAATAACCAAACATTAGGATTCTTTCATTGTATTTTGTTTAGTATACCGTATTCAACTTGGGAAAGGGTCCTGACTACAAATTAACAAGGGTTTGTATACTTACTGAACAAAATTTATTTTGTTAAATGCTGCTACTGAACCAGTTAAAGATGTGTAATGTGGAAGTTGGGAAAAATCGGGTAAAATCTTTTTTTAGTTATATTTTAGCATATTCAGCCATACAGTAATAAATTAATGTGAATCCTAACACAAATGAAAGAGAAAAATAAGCACTGGTTTTATTTTAGACACAAAAGCATGATGTTGAAGAAAAAAGGGTACTGGCATAAAAATAAATCTGTTAAATTATTTCAATAAAAAAGTGCTTAGTTTCAATTAAATTATATCTTATACAGTGATATACAAGTATTCTCTGGTGCTTTACAATTATTGACAAGGTAGTAACATGAAAATACTACATCATACATTGTTTACATGTCTTCACAATTTCATATAATCACAGTTGGTGGCAGCAAATATGTAATAAAAAAAATAACCAATTGACAAACCCCATCTACCTTCATTCAAGTATCAAATATGTGTAATATATAAGTTTAGAATTTCCATAACAGCCACTCGCTTCCCAATAGCAATTTATTCCAGTATTCAAACTTGAGGTCCTTAAAACAAAAAAGGCATCTGTGTGGGAAACCTATAATACATTAGTAGGCAAACAAGACAGTAACAAGCGGATGCACGAGGCTGGATCAGCTCCTAAAGATGGTGTCTGACTGCTACCACTAGTTCCACTCCAAACTGCTTTATCATTAATAGAAATGGGGAACTAACAAAAGTTTCCATACAAAAAAACTTATTAAGTCACAACAACAGGTGGTTACACCTTGGCAGCAGCACATGGCTCACAGACAACAAGCGGGAATTGTGAGCTTTGATGTCATTAAAACCTCTGGCAGATCCTAATTAGTAATGCATTCCCTATGAGATGGGATCAAGAAATACAGTTCATATTGTAGGCCTACCTAAAGGTTATAACAACTTAACTGCTCACAATGATACAAGAGTCGCATTACTCCCGGGCAAAAAAGATGCTCGGGTAACTGGTGCAGGGTGTGACTTGAAATGCTGGTCAGCAGAGTAATATTCAATTGTAGATAATGTTGGAGTATCAAATGTATCTAGGATATGGATTCTTACACAGCTCTCATTTTCCAAACCATGGCATCAACAGCAGAAAAACAAATTCCATGCCAGTATTTGCCAGAATCCAAGCATACCACAAAATTTAACCATGGAACCCTAACACGGAATTCAAGCTTTGAGCCTCACTGTTCCTAAAATATTTTTTTTAAAGGTTAACTGATATTTCATTCACAGGCACTGCCTCAATCCCACTAAAAAAATTCACTAAACAACTCGTGAGTCTTTATGTTTCTTAAAACATTGCACTTTGCAATAGCAGGTGATGTGCAAGGAGGCTCACAGTGCTGTTCCATCTTCAAAGGTGGCTCACATGGTGTTGGCACTTGGCTAAAAGGGGCCATGGTGCTTTGCTAACTAAACGGCCAATGTGTGGTTCTGCAACACCTGTACACTGCACTGTGACACCTGAATGCAAAACCATTTGTTAACGATGTTCGGGTTCAGCAGGCAGGTGCTGCCTACATAGGCTGAGAGAAAACAGCAGACTGGTTCAGGAGCTTCCGCTACTCACTGCTTGACTAGTCACTTGTGGAGTCTTCAGTACGTACACAGTAAGATTTGTTAAGTAAATACTGAATTAAGCACATTATTGGAAGTGTATTTTTTAGAAGGATATTACTCAGTAAAAAAGGAGATTTTTAAGAATACAACATATATAAGAGATTTTTTAACTTCCAAAAAAGAATTTCAAAGACTGAATTTTAAAAGCCATTTGCTACAGAAATCAGGGTGCAACAATACAGGTATTCATTTGACTTCCATAATTGTCAGTAGGTATATGGTTTCCTTAAACTCCCACCCTCTATGGTTCACTCAGACTTGCCTTACTTGGTAGTTTCCACACATGTTTATCCCTGGTGACATATTCACTTGACTTTCCACATCAAAGTTCTACTGTGAACTTGTGGTCACCAGTCACATGAAATATAAGGAGGGTCCCAACATTCACTTTGAGCAGAAAGAACATTCTTCTCAGCAATACAATTCACTACCACGCACTTATATACAATCATATATATATATTTTTCCATGATAAATAACAGAACATCCACTGTAAACCACTGATATCCACCGCTAAAAATATGAATCATGCAGTGGATTATCCTTAAATAGATTCCGATAAATTAATGATGAGAATCTTCACATCTTCATTATACAAGATTTTTTTAATGTGATGACTTCCTTCACTGTGACCTTCCTCTTCATACCAAGTACAGTAGCAATGCATTACCAAACAACTTTGATATTTGAAGCTCATCAATCTATATCATTTTGGTCTCCATAATATAAATTATATTTCCCCAAACTGTCACTTTGTAATCCATACACAAAATTAATTCTCCTGGGTATTATCCTGCACAGAGGGCTGGGAATTTGGAGTTAACTGAGGGGATGGAGTGGTCTTATTTGTGCCACTTGCACTGCTGGTGCTACTGTTGATGGTACTACTATTACTACTGTTGCTACTGCTGCTGCTGCTGGTGGTACTGGTAATGTTAGCATTAGTGGTTGTTGTTGCTGACTGTGGTCCTCCTTGGTTACTGTTAGCATTTATAGCTGTGGTGGTACTAGCAGTAGATGGTGTCCCTATGCAAGTTGTGGTTGTGGTGGCTGTAGTTGTGATGGTGGTAGAGCCATTATTTGCAGAACTAACTTCAATACTTCCAGAGCCACCACCAGTACCACTGCTGACTGTTATTGATCCACCACTATGACTGAAGAAAAGAAAATGGGTCATAACATTCTACTTGAGATAGACTTCCTGTTGAAACACAGTTACTGAGTAATTATGACTTCTATATACATAATTCATATTGTATAATACCTGTCCTAAAACTAGCATTGGAAAACCTAACCACAAGGAAAAATTTAACATTAAATGAAAAGTCATATCTATGTATGCATAATGCCCCCATCCTGTTACCTGCACTTAAAATAACAAGATTTGGTCACAGAGTGGATCAAAAGAAGGTATCCAGAAGAGTGACTACAAAGTAACTCCTTTTACATGATCATGAACTGTAACTTTTAAATCTTTAGAACAAATCATATCAGGAGAAGGTACAACAGGTTATTTTTTTCTTCAGGCTCACCTATACAATCATCTAAATGAACGATGTCACGATTTCCAGAAATTTTCAGTGGTATCTAGCAACAACGTCTCACTTCCTTTTCACTTATATTAATTAATAAATGCTAAAGCAGTTTTTCATGAGAATACTGTAAGAACAAATAACGTACAGTAGTTAAAATTTTAGTATATTCTTAAACAAAATAATATGACATGAGAATATCGCTCAAGGACGTTCAGAGATAATTTGTGGAGTTATAATTGGACATCAAAATGAAAAGGTATGTTGTACTATTAATTGTTTTAAGTTGGAATTAATATCTAATAGAATTAATAGTCATACCACGTTTATGCCATATTTTTAAAGTGCAAACCATATATTACGTATTTACCATTTCGATGGACAATGACTAAGGCGGGGAAAACTTCACAAAACAAATTTTTGAGCTTTAGATAAACTACTGTATATGCTTAAATAAATAATTATTTATAACTTGACCCCTAGTAATTGTAAGAAAATAATTGTCATTTATACTCTGAAGGTATTGTATTGTTTAGCAGCCAAGTACTGTAGCGTGCCTTGAATGATGTAGTACTGTACTTCATCAGGTGTGAACCAAACTGTTTTTCGATAGCCACATGTTAGGAGAGTACAGTATAATGAGCTTCTTAGAACTGTGTTTGCAAAGGCCATGGAGCCTCTCCTTGGGAGATGCAGTGGGAAATAAGCAACACTTTCAGTCCATCTTAGAGTAACTGATATCGACAAAGGCTCCCAAATCGCACTGTCAGCATTTATATTGTCCTGCACGGCATCAGACAAAAAAGGTCAGGAGGATCACTGAAGAACACCTTAAAATGGTTACAGGAATAAATGATCCCAAATTCTGAGAGGCAACCACTCACTAGAAGACCATCACATCCCCAGCTGTTAAACCAAAGCCTCCAAAGGACAGCAAACACATTCACTGGCACAAGCCAATCATGAAGATTACCCCCAGACATGCTAAAATGACTTGAAGAGTGCTCATCTTCTGGCAGTCAGTGTTCCTCAAGCAAGGGACTTTTCACTGGCTACCATGAGCTCCTCCTTAGGCACTTGGATTACGCAGTTCAATTCTGGTCACCGTACTACAGAATGGATATAGAATCCCTAGAAAGAATTCAGAGGAGAATGACAAGACTAATCCCAGGCATTAGGAACCTCGAGTACAGAGACAGGTTAAAACATCTTAATTTGCACTCCCTCGAGAGACGTAGAGTGAGGGGCGATATGATTAAGGTTTATAAATGGAAATCAGGGCTAAACAAAGGGGACATAACAAAGGTACTCAAACTATCCAACCAGGGGCAAACTCGTGACAATGGTTTGGAAAATAGAATAGTGGATGAGTGGAACAAGTTACCAAACATCATCATTAAATCGAATATGCTGGATAGCTTCAAACATAGGTTGGATGGATATATGAGCAATAGGGGTTGGGTGTAAATGGGACTGCCCAGCATGGGTCAATAGGCCCGCTGCAGTTTCCTCCATTCTTATGTTCTTATGTTATCCGTGCTCGAATAGCCCTTCATCTTGCAGCCCCTGTCCACACTATTGATGTGTGTACCTACTGTACAGTATAGCAACAAGTGGGCAGACCAACATGGTCTCATATGTGGTGCCTGGTGGTTGGCATGTGACACAAAATTAATGGCATCATCAAGAGACTTTGTCTTGTGTTTACAACTCGTCAAAATATTATTGAGGATACACTTCATTCACTAATAAAATCAAGTTAAGTAGGGAATCAATCTTAGCTCATACTGTCATAACAATAAAAAATATTTATAAAACACATATCCCTTTTACAGGGATGCCCAGCACATAAAAGAATTACAGACCTATAGATCTCATAGCAAGTGTGCTAATGAAATCATGCTACTCCCCTGGAAGGAGACTAAGCATCTGTTGTGGGATTACACTCAAGTGCTTCCACTTTAGTGCTTACTTATCTTCTCCATAGTCTAGCTGGAATGGGAAAGGTGGTAAGCTCACAGAAAAACCTAGTAGGGGCAAAGTTCAGAAACCTGAGCCACAAATATTGTTTTGTTCCTGTAGGTTTTGAGACAGGGAGCCTTGAGCATCAATGCCTTAAAAGTTCCCGAATGAGCTGAACTCCAGATTCACCAAAACAACCAGAACACTGAGCTGCTTCTTACAGTGATCCAGAGAAGGAAAGCTTCCTGCACACTGGTATCTCGTCCCTCACCTGAAGAACTTGAGGGTGTCTTTGAATGTGAGGTGGGAGTGTGTATGTAAATAAGTAAAATAAAAAACTTTGTAAAATAATTAAGTGAAATAAGAAGACAATATCTGCTCAGAGTTCAAAGAAAATTATCTCAATATTCATGAATGATCTAATTATCTTCTCTGTGGTGAAGGGTATCCCACACATCCAGTTAGAATGATACAAATGCCCTCACCCACAAGAAAATACTAGTAATACATGCATGCTATACTGTCATAAGTGATCAAAGGAAGAATAAGTTGACAATCTTATTTCAAAGACTAAGAAAACTAAGAGAGATTCTTTACCTTCGATTTTGAGAGCTCACTGGGAAATCTTTAGATGAAAAATTTAATTGTGAACTAGAGGGTTGTGGTCCTGAGGTAGGTGGTAATTTCTGTTGCTGCTGAAGTTGTTGCTGCTGCTGCTGCTGTGGCTGTGGCTGTTGCTGAGACTGAAGTTGTTGCTGATGTGGTTGCGGCTGCGGTTGTGGTTGCTGCTGCGGTTGTGGTGGTTGTTGCTGCTGCGGTTGTGGTTGTTGCTGAAATGGAACATCAAGGTCAAAGGCAAGCACAGTATATCACTATAAATGAATAAGAATATTAGCTTTATCCTCTGTACCCATGTCACTACCCTTTGGCTTGCCAGTCATTGCAAGAGCTAAAAGTATCATCAAAAGCGAGCCTCCATCGAGTGTCAATGTCATAGATCATTTCAGAATGGGGGTGAATTATTCTTCCCTTGAAATAATGGATGACAGTTTTCACTCAGCTATCCTCAAGTGATTCACTGTTCTAGTGGAAGGAAGTAACCTCTGCTCTTCACTTGTTAAAGATTCTCACGAGGGAGATGATGGTGTGTATTGGCACATCTGTTCCTCCCTGAGTGAGTCTTCAGCATTGCTTGGATTTTTTTTTCACTCTCAGTAGAGCAAAACTTGGGGTCAATTCCTTCTGATCAATGGTAATGACCAGGTGCAACGGTGAAGCGCTTAAAAAATTGGCTCCCTTGTAGGCTTCAACAAGACGAAAAGGAAACACTATCAATAAAGAACACCATTATTTTCTTCTTCACAATTCAACCTTCCATATGACCGTGTTGTGAGTCTTGTGATCGTAGTCATGGAATGTTCCGGAATGAAGTTTTAGAAAATATAATTAAATTTTGTAAAAGTAATTATTACTGAAACCTGGAGTGCCAACAAGCAGGTTGAGATTTGGATGATGTAACCACATTTGAATGACACAGCTCGCATCACTGGCCAGTGAGGTGTGATTTGCAATGCCCAAATGTCAATAATGTGCAAGTCTTAAAAATGTAGGCTACAATACAATTTTCAATTTTTTCTTTTTCTTTTTTCCCACACATACTGTAACTAAGAAAGGTCCTTTGATGACCTATGACCTTCAAGAAAATTTCTTTCCCAAGGAAACAACAAAGCTGTAACACACATTCTATTCATCAAAGTCTTGTTATAATATCTGGATCAATACAAGAGTTATGCTCCAGGCAAAGTTGGCCATCAGCTCTGATATTTATTTTTGACCAAAACGACTGAATAAGATGACGATACATATTTAGGTGAAGTTGCATTAAAATATCTGCATCAATAAAAGAGTTATGTTCTGGACTAAATGTAGACTTCAGACTTTCCTATAATCTTGAACATTGACCATTTGTCTTTTATTTAGTGTTTTTCTCATCTCCCTGATATATCTTAAAATTTGATTATCATATCTTACATGGCTTCAGATATGTTATGGACACATTTTTGGGCAAAGCAGCAGCAGAATCATAAAAATGGATACACCATTATGTCTCCTTGCCTTCAGTTGAGAAATACTTAACGACATAAGGAATATATCCATTACATTTACCCCAGGCGGCTGCTGTTGTCCTGAATCGGAGACAGGGGGTAGAGGAGCCACTTCTTCTGGAACTGCAACCTCTGCCTCTTCACATTCTTCTGGTTCTGGCTCCTTTTAGTGAAAATAAAATATATATTAAATAGTTTTTATTGATGATTAAAAGCATAATGCAAGATATTCGATTTAAATATAATTAATCCTTAATTGATATCCACCCGGTATGAAAAATACATCAGCAGCATTATCAGTGATTTACGGTCATTTTCCATGCTTACATGGGTTAACCGTAAACAAGTATATAAATACTGCAAATTTCCTCATCCCAACAGATAATCAATGCTACAAGAATCAACATCAGAAAACTTAATTCTCATCAACTTCCAAAGCGTCATGACTATACAAGATGTTCCTGAGAACAATTATAAACACACTTTGAATATCAACTTAAGCTAGAGGACTGGTGTTACATTAACAAGTACCAAGATAAAGGACAGGTGTTAACTAATGTAGTCTACTGTACCCAAGATAAAAATCTGACAAGAGTATAATATATTCAACTCATACTGCATTAATAATTTCAGCAGATGTACAACTCACATCTTCAGGACACAGTTCGTACGCCTTTTCTAAGGTAGACCGAGCACTGGGTGAACGCTCCAAAAAGTAACCATTGCTAGTTTCATTGCTCTGTGCTGGTGGAGACCAGTTATTAAATCCATACTGTGTGTTGGCTGCATATGGGCGACGATCTAGTTCATCATTCAACCAATCCACTGCCCAGGTCCATTTACGCTAAAAAATAAAAAATAAAATAAATAAAATAAAACTAGGAATGATAATAAAAGTCTACATCATTGTTGCAAAATTAGATGAAATAATATTCTACTCATCACTGGGGATATTATTCACTAACAGTCTTATTCCGATATAAAACATAATCAATATAATATCTTTTTATCTTGGTTCACAATGGCAGTACAGTACTGTAGGGGTATATGGTTGGACCAGATATTATGAGTTAAAAACTAGGTTGTATTGTACATACTGCCCTGTGTGCATGTCCTTCAAAACTAAGAACTGTAATCCAGACATTTATAAGGCAAAAAATGAGGGACCGAGTCTGAAATCCAGTGTTTGTAATCATGTATGGATGAGACAACTCATGCATTATGCTATGTCAACAAACCAGTGGGATGAACCCCAGAGTTTCCAGGACCCCTCCACTTGTGATTGGGAGTATGAACTGAGAAATAAAGAGTACTGTACACACTAAAAACTAGAGATAGACTCCCTCACAAAACAGTTGCAGCCACATAAAAGGGGTTAACACTGATGCCTTGGTTCATGCACGAGAAATTTAGGATAACCCAATAACTCAACAGGGGTTGAGCTTGTAATTTTTTCCAATTGTATAATGGAATTGATGTGTTACTACGGTATATAATTATTACTGATGTTGACTTAATGTTTCATTACTGCACATTTTGTTTCCAATCTCGTCTGGTTTTTGGCAAGTATAGGTATAAAATTACTAATGTAAAGTATTGTACAGTACTGTGTGTTATGTCACTTATTATGTTCATTATTGGCTTATCATCGTGTACACCCAAAATTTTCATTAAAAATATGTTTTGTAGCATTTTAAGATTTTTTTAGTGCATCTCATTTTTTATGAATGTCTAGGATTAAAAAAATAAAAAGTTTTCAGGAAGGAAACGTTTTCATAAATTGGGTCTACCTGAACAATAAATAAACATATTTTACTTTTGTATCTGATTTTTGTTACTGGTAAGAATTTTTTTTAAAGTTTGAAATGTAAGTTACCGTATTTGTCTTTTCATATTACAGATACAGTACTCCTTGACTTACGACCACCCGGACATACGACTGCCGCAGTTGTACCAAAATGTTTTCAAATTACGTATTTTCGAGTAACGACGTTAGTGATTGTGCTGTGTAATGACAAAATTTTCGTCTGTAATTCCCTTTAAAATGGCTGACAAGCGTAAAAGTGAGAGTTTCGTGGTGCCGAGAAGAAAGACACCCATTTTAGATTTTCTAAGTATTATTTTCGCATTTTCGACTTACGACTTGGATGTCGGTCCCTAACCCCATCGCAAGTCGGGGACTGACTGTACTAATTTCAAAATTGTCATATTGGTGTTCAGTAACTGGAGACAGTACCTCACTGTTTAAGCAAAAATGGTAAAATTTTAATTTTGTTCAAATTTTACACAAATTTCTTCTAAATGAGCTGGTTAAGGAGCTGGATTAAAAAAAAATCAATTTTGAGTATTGTAATTAACATTAATTAATGACGCCAAGTACATAATCCCTCAAAGATTTATATAAAGTTTTTACACGTCTTACCATTTAACACATTTAATATTAAACCAACCGAGTCAATTTTAATAGTGTTATCCCATTAGCTGGATCAATTGGTGCAGAGCACTTACGGGAAACAAGGCAACAGAGATTTTACCATATAAAATGGAAGAAAGGCCATCCCCCTCATTTTTCCATGAAGGCATTTCCGTAGGCAGTCAAAGTCCCCTACCAAATAATAATTCACATGACAAAATAACATGGATGAGTATGATGAATAAATAATAAAAAATCTTACCTTCAAATCACCATTGGAGTGCAACATCTGCTGAGCAGCTAAACAAGATGAAAATAGTGCTACCATACACTTTATACACTGATACGCTCGTTTCTGGTAATGGTTTTTGCTTCGCTGGATTGTGTCAAACAAGCCTTCTCGGTCATCTGGTATACCTGATGTGTGATGAGAGAGAGAGACAGAGATACAGGATTAATAATTGGCTGCCCACAAAAGATCTGTACTGTACGGAGATCTCTAGGAGGAAATACAGTATAAGCAAAATTTCTAAAAAGTGATAGGAAGTCCTCATTATACGTCGGGGATGTGTTTTAGAGATAAGTGACATAGCGTAGCATTTTATGAATTTGTCCCCATAAAGTTTGTTATAGGAGTATCTGCAATCCAACCCTTGGAAGCTCAGGTTAACTCAGCTTACAATAGGGTCATTAAAATATACTGTGCTGTATAGAATCTGACAACTGATTAATGTATAAACTAGGCAATAGGCACACACATAATACACAACATTACTATTTAAGTGATGATAAAAACACTACAATATTCCTGGTGTTGTGGTAGGTACTAACCATCTGGAGTAGAGGTGCAAAAGGGAAGGAGAGCACTGGCAACACTGCTCAGAGGGAGGGTGGGGACTTGCTGTATTTACACTATGTACACAAGCACCAGGAATTTAATACAACACAACTCATCTAGAGTTTGGTGTGAGATTTTCACCAGTAAAATTATTTGAAGATAATATTTGATTAATGTGGCACCAAATAAACATAAATTATATTTGAATTATGATGAAATTGTATACAGTACCATCCTGTTAAGGGGAACATCTGGCTCATGCACGAAGTTCATTAATAATTGATAAATCAATATAAATTTCCTGTCAGCAATTAAGAAAACCAGATACATTGTTACTATACCCCTGAATTGGTTCTGCCTAATCCCAGAATCCTGATATCCGATTTTTCCCTTATTTTCTTACCAATTTTCAAAATCCAACTTCTCCATAACTTCAACATAAATTTTGTTGAAATTTGTGTGGATTATAGGTAATTTACACTTCTTGAATGTAATATAGAGATCTTTGATTATCACTTTCGTATTGAGTAAATGAGTTTTTTCCTAACTTACCATTTTTCCACCAAAGATTTGTAAAGCTAAATCATCAAATAATAATAAACCAAGCCAATTATAAACAAAGCTTGATGTTATGCCATACACAATATGTTTTTCTACTAGTACAGGTACTTTGTTTTTTTATTAGAATCAGCCAATAAAAGGCCGAGCCTTAAGGATTTGAAGGTCAGAAAAACTCAATTCTGAGATACGGGCCGATAAAAGTGACGTGAGTGCAACTCGCAATCGTGATGACGGTTTCCGTGTTTAGCTTGCTGAGAGAGGCGCCAGATACGGATTTTTACCGAGTGACTGGTACTGTATTACTTTAAACCTAAAGATTATTATAGCTACATAAATATTACAAATTACACAATAAAAGTAAGTCAACATACAGCCATAGGCAACAGCTTTCCACAGGAATTTTTCTGAAAATTTTTGTCATTTTATGATTCTCACCCAAACACTCCCCTTAACAGGGTTAATGAGGGAGTTGTCCAGTCACTCCTCACCCTACCTCCCACCTATCCCACACAAATCACTTCCCACACTTAATTTATCTGATTTTAAACTTGTTTTCTTTATTTCTCACAGCCAACAAGTGCCCATGTGTTATGGTGATTTCTATACTCAATACACCCCCACACTCTTCCTTTTTCTTATTCTATATTATTATATTACTGTACAGTACAGTATTTTCTTTATTCATAAGGCACACTAGCACAATGAAACAGATTTTTTGCAAATTCTGTGGTGACTGACGTGTTTTGGCATGGTAGAAAGTTTAACACACACAGGGCACTTCTATTATAGTTATTTTTACACTATATTAAATGCTTTTAAGACTACAGGTATTGATGCATCATATACGTGTACACATAGACTTAGTGTAAAACAGTGGATGATGTAAACAATGTACAAGTGTGAAACAATTGACCTATAATGAAAGTTTCTTCCTATATTAGTCAGGGACATAGAGTAAACTTCCTCTAACCCGGACTACTGGCAGAGAAGGCCTGTCCGATTTGACCGAAATTCCAGAGGATAGGGGTTTTCTGACTTTAAGGTACCCAAGAACACTAAAATTTTCAGTTTATTAGACATTGTTGAAAGATAATCACAGTTCACTTTAAATACTATGCTTTCTTTTACTTCATACCAGATGGAACAAGAATAGAACATACAAAAAATAATTACCCTTAAGAGCATTATGGATTCGATGATTTTGCCATGAGTCATCAAGGAGGAGCATGTGCAAGAGGAGGTCAAGGTAGGGTCGAAGTTCATACGTGTAGGAATATGCAATCTGCCAGAGTAGTTCCGAGAGCACGGTTGAAGAGAAGAGTGGATTTTCCCAACAACAGAATTTGAGGAGCTTAACTGTGTCTTCAGAAGTATTTGCATCTTCAATGATCTTCTTAACATACCTGTATTAGAAAGAAAATTTGTTATATCTATCTATCTATCTATCTATCTATCTATCTATCTATCTATCTATCTATCTATATATATATATATATATATATATATATATATATATATATATATATATATATATATATATATATATATATATATATATATATATATATATATATATATATATATATATATTCATTTTTCTTATCAGTTCTTAAAATGATCCATTACCGGACTCTCTTTGTTTTGTTACCTTTTCCCAAACACTATCGTACTCATAGCCTTTCTGCTTAAAACAAAAAGAATTCCAAAATCTTCACATTGGTTATGGTAATGCTAATGTGCAAGTCTTCAAAATTACAAATATTGCTAATATCAAAGACAGATGTACTGCAATATCTATTTCCTTATTCACTTAAGTTTTCCACTATATCTATCAGAATGGTAGTTTACAGTGGAGGGTCATGTGAAAGGCTCCTGTGGGTATAATCACCTACTCTACAGTATATTGTATTTAATAAATATTGTACACAATTAACACTGAAAAACATTATACTAACGTTGCTCGACCATAAAGGATCTCCGCTACTTTTGGCTGGATAGGCATTAGCGGTTCAGGACATGAAGGATCTCCATGTGGATTAGGCAGAGATGCTGTATTCTGAAAGAGAGGGAATAGAGTTGATATATTTTTGGGTCTAAATAACTTGGTCTAAGCAGTCTCTTAACACACACACACACAGGTTTGAGCAGTCTCCTACAACCCATACACGTTTAAGCAGTCTCCCAAAACAAACAAACAAGCACACACGCAACCTTCCGCTTCACCATCATGCCTCACTGCAATCTTCCTGGACAGCTTACCTTCCCTCACTGCCAGTTCAACCCATTATTACACCCATATACATTGGTTTGGGAGATTTCACTGTATATTACATCAAAAACTGTGTATGTCATTTATGTACTCACTGGTTGAGAAGACTGTTGCTTGTTGGAAACATCACATGACCTAATTAACTGAGAAACAACTTGGTATAGTCGGCCTAATTCAGCATATTGGTACTTAATGGCTGGGCCTGGTCCCTCATCCAGTGCTACCAACATGAACATTTCTACCACATTCAGCTGAAAAGAAATAATTTCACAACAGTAAAACAGTAACTTTACCTCACCTTACATTTTGTTTCACAAAAGAAAAAATCTTAATTCAACTGTTCTTAATACAACCACAATGGTTGGATGTATCTATAAGTGCTAAAACCAATAAAAAACTTAAACAATGACTGTAGTTAAGTAATTTACCTTAAGAAGTTGCAACTTCTCTGGAGGTCCTAAAGACGCATAAAGATGGAAGAGATGGAAGTACTGTGTTAGGTGTCGGCCATGTTCTGATACCTCTTTGTTGAGCAGCAGCAGGACAGCCACTAGCAGCTGGTCACTCAAAGTGCAGCTGCCTCCAGCCATATCAAGACCTACAATTACAAAGTATCATAATAATCACTGTATTGGAAATTTGAGTGTTCATTTTAAGCTAACAATCTGCTGAACTGACAGAATTAAATGATGTCTGGTTCATATTTTTTCTGAAACAAATGTAATTGCATTAATATTATCCAGCAATGTAAAACCCAAGTCATTAAGTGTTGTTTAATAATATTCTTATTTGATTTCTTTCCATATTTTTTTCATCGTTTAATATATCTTGCTAACTTTCAGTTCAGTAATCTGGGCTTAAGCTGCCATTGCTGCGTACATCATCAATCGCTATGGTCACTGTGTATCGTCCTTGTATAAGCTTGGCCATGTTATCCACCACACTGTGTACATCACAATGGCTAGACCACAAATAATGATTACAATTCCAACATGTATCAGGGCTCCACAATTCTGATATTAATGTTGCCATTCAAGACAGAAATATCACTGAACCTTGATGGCTTACTTGCTTTGTTCCAACCATAGAAATGTATTAAATGAAACTTTTCAATTGTCAGACTGGTTCTTCCTCAAGGATCTGCAGTTTTCTGATACTCTTAAATTTTTTTCAACTCTCTGGGACAGATAAATTCAAGACACCTTTCCTATATCTCAAGGTACATTTGAATGTAAATTTAGCATCTACTACACAAGCTGAGAATTATGGAGTTTGCCATCTAGAATTATTGTGTACGGAAACATTCAGTGTAATATACTGTATGTCACTTTAAATCTTATTCCATTAAGCTACTGGGTTATGGGACTGGTGTTCTTTTGCTGTTTACTTGTGACCTTAATACACATGTTGCTACTCAAATGTGCTTTTATTAGAAACATTATTCCAATTACAGATAATTCAGTTATTCAAACATCCATCAAGACCGGCAACGACCTGACGGTCAGAACAACGGAGGGATCCTACAAAAGCCACCGGCCCCCTTGCCTCGCTCGGCATGGCCAATATGCATGCTAATTTAACCAAGGCAAAAAATCAGATTTTATGAGCTACAGTCAGATTGAATTTCAGGAGAAAGGAAGATTTTGTCTGGAAAATATTTCTTCACACATTACGTTCTCTGATACATAAACTAGTTCTTTTACAACATGTAAAAGAATTAGTCCATGGAGTGGACCAAGAGAAGCAAAGTCCTTATGAAAAGGAGAATATGGTCTAAGCATCACCATTCACAGCTACATATATACATTATTTCCAATGGAGAACAATCTCACCCAAAAACAATTGATATAAACTGTACCTGGATGGTGCTTCAAAGGTCCCCATCCTAATGGCTGTGGAGCATCATTGCGTGCACAATGAGCCACCAGGACTATAAGCTTGCTAAATACCATCCGTACTTCTGGCGCAGGGCATTCTAGTAGGTACTCCATAAAGCGGTGCGGCTGAGCAAACAATACATGTTGTGCAAACCATGCACGTGTATGGACTGATGCCCGTAAGTGAACCTGTTAAAAAAGTTATTCAATTTGTAAACATTAATATTAAGTTCTATTACTAAAAATGATGGAATGATCTTAATTTTCAATTTTACAACTGAAGCTAGGCTACATGCCTAGTGTGAGGCAAGCAGTTAAGTCTAAGATCAGAACCTATATTAACCCCATGAAATAACAGTCAAGATTAATTCAGAAATAAAGAGTTACAATTTCAACCAGAAGCCTACGGAGTCATTGGCACCTCAGAACTGCATATCACTCGAGTCATTTGCTCTGGGCTAACAACAACAACCCAACCCTCAGTACCAGTCATTTTGAAACACAGCACTTAAAAGGAGGGGCTCAATTACTTTTGACAGGTTTACCTTAGTTGCTTCAGCTCTTCACTCTCTGCCTAAAATGCTGTGGAATCTAAAAATTATGACTTCACTGACAGGAAAGAGGAATAGTGAATTCAAAACTAAGATAACTCAAAAAGTCACAGAAAATTTGTCAGAGAGTAGGGACATTGGGAAGAACAGTTGTAACTCTATGTAGGAAAAATTCAGCGATAAAAAAAATATAATGTAAAATGTACAGGCTTCATATACAGTAATAGACAGCAGACAGAATGAAAGGGCAGAAGAAAATTACAGTGAAATATAAGTGTGTGGTTTCTCACCTGCAGTGCATCGTACCACTCAGGTGCTGGACCCCGTAAAGTCTTCTTGGTATGTAGCCCCACAGAAAAGAGGAACTTGCTACACAACTGAGTGCTGATCATAGCTATCTCTTCACTTTCTACAACCTGAAAAAAAGAGTTACACATAAATACTGTACATACAGACTGTTTCTTATCCTCTATTCATCTCTCTAACATAGATCTTGATTACCCAGTACCATTTTTTTTTCCAAGCTCCTACAATTGGTATGTGATATTATACTGGAATGACCCACTAACCTTTACCTGGGCAATCTGTTTATATATGTTACAGGGAATTTGTGTAACCAGTGATTTCATTAAATCCCCAAAACTTTTATTAAGTTATATGTAATTACCTAACCTAACCTAGCAATAATTACATATAACTTAAAGTTTTAGGGATTTCATGAAATCACTGGTTAGACAAATTCCCTGTAATATATATGGGATGAATACCAAACAGGTTAAGGATGTGTGGTTTAGATGCTGACTGCTAAATAAGGTTTTATTGTGTATTTTGATTTCCATGCATAAGAATTTGAATTCATTAATTCAAAATACACTAGAGTCATTGTGACTCCTCTTATCTCTGTAGGGTTGTATATTTGTAAATTCACCAGACCCAGCCATAAAGACACTTTTTTGATAGTGCGTACCTGGCTGCATTCTAAAGCACTATGAAAAGATTAAGTGTAAATTATATAACATTTAATATTTGACATAATGGGTGCCTGTTCTAGATTTGGCCTGTCCATGCTGAATGGCTTAAGCAATCACTAATATGAATCCTTAATTATATTTAGTCTTGTTATAATCATTCTTAAAATAACATAACACTCACCCTATCTTGTGGAGGTTGGAGGACAAAGGGATGATTGGTCATTATAAGTTTCTTGAGGAACTGAAAGTACTCCGGAGAAAACTGGGAGCGGGAGTGCATAAACCTAACATTTTGTCGTACCACTGATCGATCTATGGCACTAGGCATTTTTATTAACCCTGGTCGCTCAGCTGAAAAAAATAGAAGAAGAGAAATTAGCACGAAAATAATAAACCTTTACTGTGGACATCTAAATCATAGCTGTGCCAGTATTTCCTTGAGCAAACATTAAATTATTCAGCACTGTTTTATAATATAATATTCAAAATTTATTATTTCAATACATTTATTTTGTTAACCCATTCCCTTTAAATAACTTTAATGAATCATCGTACTATGTTTTCCAAAATACAATTAATCTCGTTTCTTTTCTCTTTTTCAATCCCATTGTTAACAATCAAATAAGTGTTTTATTGTAAGAGGGATATAATAACAGCTGTAAATTAGCCTGAGTGCTCTATCCACAAAGTAACCATGAATCATGTGTCAAAGGCACATCCATAACAAAACAACCACACCCCTATGTTCACCAGTCGTGCAACTACCACTCGACCCTACACTCCAGTCATGCATACAAACCTACTTCTTATAATACTCACCTAAACTAAGTTCATTAAGGGAGTTGCAGAGATTATCCTCTTCGACGTCTAGCCGAGTGTAGAAAAGTAGATAAGCATTCCACCACCGCTTTTGCCGTCGATAACTGACTCTCTTCATTATGTTGTCAAAAACTTGCTGTTGATAAAAGCCACATCTATATTAAGTACTTTACATACTCTTACAGGTACTGTACGCACATGAAAAAACATTTTGATTGCACAGTATGGAGCAGGTATTTTATTTTTTATTTTTTTTAAGCAAATACTGTACAGTACATTAAGTCCTCAAATTAAATTGTTTATTAATTTTTCAAGATTATTGTACTTGTGCATCTGGCAGCACTGACTAACTTACACCAACAGATTACATGCACTGTAGCAGCAGTATAATGACCGATTCCCAAAGAGTGATACAGACACTCCCTGGGTTACGGATGGGTTCTGTTCCTGGAGGCTGCCTATAAACCGGGAGTGACCTTTCCATAGGTAACCACTGAATATACACACAGTACATATAATGTACAGTATATACAATTACTATACAGGTATGGGACAACTTATCCAGCATACTTGGAACCTGAGGGTTGCCAGACAGATTTTTTTCCAGAATTTGGAGTGCCAGGCCTAAAAAGTACAGTAAGCCCTCTGGAACTGGCTGTGAAAACTGTTCAGATCACTAAATTCACCCCTAAAAGTAGCTTTAACTGCACACTAACATAAAACTTAAAATTGTAGGCATAAACATCAATAACAAAAGCATATAAACAGCACTAATGAAAGCAAAGAGCAAAATGATAAAGTCAATGTTCAAACTGAGTAGCAGGCACCACTGGTGCTTGCCTTAGCAATGCAGCAGCAGCACCACTAGTGACAGTACTGCGTGTGCATGTAATCGGGGATAATTAGTCTTAATCACTGGAACACTTAAAATATATAACAAGTTTTCTACTTAACTGTATGCTAAATTGAGTGAAAAGAGATGACTTACCTCACCCATATACTCCCCACCAAAGCACTGATTCTTCATTTCATCTTCATCATCCATTTTGCACTCGGTTACCTCCCCGTCATCAAACTTGTACCAGCGCTGGTCACTTCCATTCCTAGGATGAATCAGTAAATACAAAATGAGTACACTTCAATTCTTCATACAGTGTTGTGATCAACTTAGCACATCCTTGCTAAACTAGGTCCAATCCAGGTGGAGTGCAAATGAGAAGAATTTGATTATGTTCATCGAGTCTGACCCTCAAAGATTCACGTGCAAAATTTTTCTCAAAACTGAAGATGAAGGAATGCACTTAGCTGGCAGTAATGTCTGAAAGGAACTTGAAATTACCCGAGTGTACTGTAATCAGATATTATAAATTTCCTTATCAAATGGAGGATAAAATTACCAAGCAAAACCATTGTCAACCAGATCCTGAACTATAAATTTTTTTTTATTGAAACAAGAGTCTAGTAATGTTCCTGAAAGAAGTGCATGAAAAACTAATAAAATTATTAATAAAGAGAATTGTGGACTCTTCAGCACCTCGCCACCACCAAGCCAATGAGAGATTACATTACTACCTCAAGTTTCCTGTCACTCCAGTGACACACATCTTACTCTTAACATCTATTATAATAATATATTATCCAGTAGTTAAATCCTACTCATAATACACACCGAGTGACTAGTGACAGCCCTCGCCCAACTGTTTTATTGAGGAATTTTACCATTAAATAAAAATCTAGAAGGTACATTACAATAACATTCACATGGATGTAGCAGGAGCCACTTCTGATGTGTCTAAAAACTTGAAGCCTCAGAGACAACTATGCAGTGAACCCAGGGAATATTGGTAAGTTTCTCCTTGTCTCTATATACTGTACACCCTTAAATTTATTTACTAACAAACAAAGACTTTACTAACCTGTGCAGAATATAAGAATAATAGTGGCCACCACTCGCCTGGCCACTGTGGACTACAATGCCAGTCAACTTGTACTTGCTACACACTACTGTCTTCATATCCTCTGGGTCGTAATCTATTAGCTCTCCATTCCTTGCCAACCCAGCAACTAGGAAATGGAAAATTTATGTTCAAACATCCTCGAATTTTCGATACATTCATAAAGTGATTCCGACATTGCCACATGTTCGGAAAGGCCACTGGGGGGTGGAACACTATACTGTACATATTGGGCAACTGTAAATTAAAGTGTTGCAGTGGTGGTCAAGGCCAAGACATGTTGGTGTAAAACTGGTGTCCTGCTACAAATTATGACTAAGATTATACCTAATATTTCTCAAAAGCTAGAGTCGAATTATACAAGATATATATGAAAACCTCGCAGGTTTTTTACCCCCCAAAATTAGGGGTCAAATTATCCAGTATATCTGCTTTATGTCAATACAATTCCAAAACAGAACACCTGTAAATCTCCCTCCCTTTAATTCACTGCATCTCAAAACTTGCATTCCCTCTAAATCAATCCTTCCCCATTTATCTTGTATCTATTCCAGCAAGCTCAATCTATAATTATTCCAACATGTAACACACTACTAATCTTGAAATAGCTCAGTTTGAATGCAGGTCACAGCATCGGCATTGTCACCGTTATCTCCATTATATTAAAAGAACATAAAATGTGTACTGTATAATAGTAAAGGTGACCACTGCAGCAGAGTCCATGGAGAGACGACTCTTGACAATACTGGCAACAAAAACGGATCCCTGAAATCGTCTAAGATCTTGTTGTGATTTATCTACTGTACATCATTAGCTTGGTTAAAAAAACATTTGAGTAGCCATGTTCATAAACTGACAGACACACACACTTTCCATTTACTTGTCCCCCTAGTAGAAACTGTGAGGGACAAAGAGTAGTAAAGAAATCATATGAATAATAAGAAACAACAATTACCTGTATACGGGTCCATGTCTAACTCTCGGGGAAACTCAAAGTAATCATTGAATTTAATTGAGCATTCTCTTTCCCAGTCATAATCAAATCTTTTCAACTGTATGGCCATAATTGGTGGAAGCTTCTTCAGGCAGATCCGCTTAACTGTATCAACCTGTGGTGAAGATAAGGAGGAGATTATAAGCATCATTAGTCTACATTCTTTTTATATTGCTTTTACAAGTCTTTTAGCCTTATTTCCCTTTATCAATCTTATTTAATGCATCTGGTAGGTCAAGCTAGGGGGAGGAGGAAGTGCCTAGATTAGGTTAAACTACAAAATAAATAAATAAATAAATATATATATATATATATATATATATATATATATATATATATATATATATATATATATATATATATATATATATATATATATATATATATATATATATATATATATACACACACACACACAAAATAATCACCATAATAAAAATAAATAAATCCATCAATTTCACATATTGAGAAAACTATGATGATGTGAGAAATTAGTAGTAACAAACACACATCAACCCTAACAGTTTTTACTTAAGTAACTTGAATCATGGTTTGACTAGACATTATCACAAAAAACACCCATACACGATTTAACAATAACAACAACAATAATTCCTGTGATTTTATCAAGATTTATCCTGTCCACATTTCCATTGTGGATCTACATGAAACAAAAATAATGAAAAACTTATGAACAGACTGTCTTCACACCAACACAATAAATAAATAAATATTTTTGAAAATTGAGTAACCACAAAATTCATGAATTACCTTAGGGCCATTGTAATGATTATGTGCTCTAAATTACAAATCAATTTATCCAAAATTATTTATTTTTAATTTATCTATACTTTAAGAGTACTCATGATGGAAAGCTTCAGGATACCACACAGACAGATCCACAGTATGAGCGCCAAAAATGACCCTACAGTCATACATGGCCTTGAGATAAAGAATATCTACTCATTCAAAGAAAACATGATTCTCTTAGCTTACCTTTTTGTCACACTTTTCACAGAGATAGGCATTATCCCCCTCTAAGAGGTCACCCTTCACATACTGTTCGAGGGAATCATAGAGGTTGCTGTAGTTACGGATGTCTATACTGATGACTGTGAAAGTTTCCTCCCGAGAGTACCTATGGAAGGAAGTTTAATTAACATTAGATGTTGCACAGTGTAATTCCTATACCATTTGCAGATACAGTATACCTCTTATAAACTGAATATACTGTATGTGGCTAAATAAGTAACGCGAATACATCAGTATGTAACGTGCACATGCCTGGGTGATGCATAGATAAATGTATAAATCCAGAATGAGATGTATTAATGAACGAGTTAATACCACCATCATAATTTACAGCTCAAACAACTGAACTCAGCTTGTAAATATGAAGATTTGAGACAACTCAAGATACAGCATATAGGTACTGTATAATCCAAAGATTGGTCCTCTTCCTCACAACTAACCTAGTATGCATGTGGACACTGTATAATATATTTAGTATCCCAAAAATCTCAGAAGATAAAACACAAAAACCAAAGAACTGTATATTTTAACCATACCTAGAGGACAATAGGTTACAGCTGAAATGAAAATAAAAATCTGGGCATTCTTTTTCAATGTCCCTCAATTGATTTTAAGTACTGTACTGTAATATGTAGAAAAATGTATACAAATAATTAAACAATTGTACCATATATTAACCCTCCTTCAACACTATTCCTGCACAGATAATACCATATATATGTGTGCAATGATGTACAGGGTGTCTCATATGTCATTCAGCATAGGAAAATTAATGTCCTCTCTTTTTGGAGGGGTTGAGGGAAGCATAACAAATCAATTAAGACACTAGAGAAATAATAAGTACAAGAAAGAGTCACTCCCACATTCACGTTGAGAAAGCTAGATGCTACAAACCAATCAGTTACAAAAGCATTTAACTGACAACACCTACGCATATGGTACAGTTAAATAACAAGATAAAAAGTAATACTGTATGATGGCGAAGGAATCACAACCAAATGGGGCTTTAGTCCTGAAGTTTTGCCACAATGTGAAACTTCAGGAATAAACTTCCATGTCTTAGTCATGTTTCCTTTACTACCATGTGTCCACAATGATCAATGTTAATACTGTAAAGCCATACCTATGAGGGCAAGTTTTGCAGATCTTCTGGTCAGAATAAGACCCACCAAGAATCTTATTCATTATTTGTTCATGTCCTAAAGCTTTGAGTGCTTCATTTAAACTCTCCACTAGGATATTGTAGAATTCACAGGCATCATGCTGTTCCCGCAAGTTCACTGGCTCTCCTTGTAATCTGTTTTGGAGAGAGAAGGGGAAAAAAATGTTTAATATGAACTTTGTAAAGATAAAAACTTCAGCTACAATCTGATTATCTTCCTAGAGTGTCTAAGGTTCTGATGAAATAATGTCTAAGGCACCCAAGAAAAAATAATAACAATAATGAATTTGGAGTACCATTTTTAAACACATGTACAGTAAACAGAACTCTCTGATAAACTGGTGATTTAGAAATACTATGGCATAAAGTCTTGTGGCTCCATCTTTCTATAGTTACGAGTGGAGGAAGGGAGAACAAAGTTCACATGAATACAGTACTTATTTTTCATGAGCTACATGTAATAAGGATGACTACATGACTAGAGACAATTTTTCAAACAAAGTGGTACAGAATGGAGTCTCGATAATTTGTGGATTAGGTACCAGAAGAGAGGGTGATTTATCAAACTGCATATTATAATTTAATTGATTTAAATGGAAATAATTAGTTAGGATCCAGAGGCTAAAAACCACCAATAAAATGTTCCAAATCTGTTTTAATAAACAATTTAATACAATACATAATACAGTACTTAAAAAAAAATCCCATAACACATATGGTACAAAAAATAGTTCTATATTAAATAAACAGCTCCTTCCATTCTCAATAATTCATCAGGGGTTAAATGAGATTTTTTTTCTCTCAAGGAAATTGCATACTATTGCTAAAAATAAGGGTTGTGGTTTAGGGAATTTCCATTGTGTCCTGTCAACCACCCGCTCTACCTCCCTCGCAGAGAATTAATTCCCACAAATTTTTCCTTAATTTATAGTTTTATATTATATTTACCTTAATGCCAAGTACCTTGACAGCACTGAAATTATATCTATAGTATATTTTCTTTATTTCTAAGTCATATCATACTGAAATACTTCCAAAACTTTTATGGTTTCCTATGTAAATAAACACTGCAGAAGCAGGTCCTCAGCTGCAAATTAAGAAATTTTAGTGAAATTTAAAAATGAGGCAGTAATAGAGGTACCAGAGAATTCCAGAATGTGAATTTGTATTTTGCAAATTATTTTGACTCCACTGTACACGAAAAAAAATAAATTAATAAAATAAAATAAAAATAAATAAACAGAGAAAGGATGGAAAGAAATATAACAAGAGTAGGGCATACAACTGAATAATTCAACTGGAAAATAAATATAAGTGGAGAGAGAGGGAGTGTAAAGCCCCAAGCAGATTACCGGCTCCTGTATCCAAGAAAGGCTAAATTTTTTATTTATTCCTAATTGAATAACCGTTTTCATCTTGATATCTTTCCTCAACTGATCCATCTTATGATAACAGGGAGAAAGCACACAATGGGAAGGAACAGGAATGAGATACTAAAAATTTTCAAGAGAAAGTGAAATGTATTAAGAATCAGTGAAGACTTACTTGAAATGCTTCCAGAGACCTCTTGGGACATAGTACTGAAGCTTGGAACAGGCCAGATGTGCAAAGATAGCCTGCACCTGTTTGAGAATCCCTATATGGTACTCTTTTCTGCTCTCCTCATTAGAACTGCTGTTCATAGCATCCTCTTCATTCCCATCAAGATTGGTCTGTAATACGGACAAGTATCGAATACAGCATTATGAATACACCCCATATACCATTTTCAGCAGCAACTGAGCAATGACAATTAGTACAGTATAAGTGATACAGGTATATATTCCTATAAGAAATTCCTGTCATACTAAAACTGGGGTTGTCAAACAGTAATCTCTCCGTTAGCCGGAATCTTCATTCCCAGAATTCTTTAATAGCCCAAAAAATATTTTGAGCATTCAAAAATTTCCAGGAAAAATCTCCTCATTCCAGGCATTCGAACAACTTTCCAAGAGACTGCATTAATGCATTTCCAGAAAATTCTGAGGCATGCAAACTTATTCCCAAGAGACTGCTTCATGTTTCCAACACCGGGATGTGTGCCTGGCACATGGGTGGGTAGGCTCAGTGCTCGTGAGCTATGATTGACCACTAATGTCATATGACAGCATGAGATGCTGATGATTGGCTGTATCCACAGCCTATCTCCTCAAACTCTTGCATCACGACACTCTTAGTTCATTGTCTGCTGCCACTGTATAAACTTGTTTGCTTGCTCAATGTTGTTTTTTAATACAATCTGTGTCATGCAGTACTGTACCAACATATAATCAGCCAAGAATAGTGTAAAAGCAGTGTTATGATGTAAAAAGTGATTACAATTCTGTATACAGTACTGTACAGTCGCAGACAAAGGTTACTTCTCCGTGGTGAAACGGATTTACAGAAATGAGTATACATATGTATTTACCCTGACTAACATCTGGTCCGGTTGTTCTATTTTATCTCATTTGGGGTCGATGCCGATTTATTTTGGGAGGGTGTGAACTTTAGACCCCATCCGTATGTTCAGTAAGTGTGAAAGAACCATATGTTCAGTACAGTACTGTACATAGCAGAGTGGACAGTGTTTGCCTACTGTAGGCTAGTGTGTAGAGGGTGTATGTACAGTATACAGTGCATGTACAATCTCTCCTTCATTGAAGGGTAGGAGAGTGACAGTTAGTAACACTTGCTACAGGAGATGGTACAGAACAAGGCAGGCCATCCTGTACCATCATATCACCATTTGGCCTGCCTGCATCACATCTCTCAAGATGACAGCATCTGCTGGAGAATACAATACAATAGTAGTAAGTTTTGTTTATTTACAATATATTGTAAGTGTACAGTGCTGTTTGCATCCCGGGCATTGTGATCTTTTTTTTCGGGGGGATGAGAAAATTTGTCTCCATACCGGTACCTGGAAATCGGTCAAACCCAGAACAGCTCTGCACCATTTATTCTGGCTAACAGGGAGATTACTGCACTTCATTTAAAAACAATGGAGAGTCTGAAAAATGGAGAGCCACTTTAATGTACTGTACAAGTGTACAAGTGTTTTTCTCTAGCATGCTTTAGCAACATTAAGTTCATTTAATTTTGAAAGTTAACCAAAGAAACTTGGCAGGATCATATTGTTATAAATATAAACCAATAAGTATATTTGTCTCTAATAGTATTCTTAAAACAATAGTGTAACAAGCCAAAAGGGGCACTAAATATAGAGGAAGTGACATTTGTGGCATAATATACCTCTTGTTCCATTCTCTCCTCTCCACTGAAGTCTTCCTCAGGATCTGTTGCAGCTCCTTCTACTGCTAGTACACCATGTCTGGAGAGAAAATTGCTTATTAAATGTCTAATTATTTAATTACTTCTCTATACTGGGTATCAAATTTCTGAGAACCACATTACACCATTAAAATTTAAACTAAGTCATAATAAGTACAATATCAGTATTATGTATTATTCAGTCTAACAATCTTATTTTAAAGTGTCTCCTGAAGCTATGATATTTAAATGTTATCTTTAAAAGAGGAAACAGAAATGTAAAAGAAAAATCTTATCCATCAATCAAGTTCTATATGCCCATACTATTTGTCTGCAAGGGAAAGTCAGAGAGTCCTGAAGATCTCTTTCTCAGCAAGAAATATTGGATATCTTGAACATTTTGATCCATTTGTACACAACCCACTGAGGCAAAACTTGAGCACCAAACAGTATAGATGATAATCAGTGAATTTCATCCCCTTCTATCCCACAAAATATGAAGGATAGCAAACTGCCCTTCTTTGGTGCAAATTGAAAGTGGTGCAACTATATTTACTAATAAATTATATCTAAATAACGGAGTGTCAAGGTATGAAATCGACAATGCAGTAATCTGTAAGCTCAGTGACATAAAACTTCTCATGATATACCAAAAACAATTTAAGTACCTTATTTGTCTGATCATGTAGAGCTGCTGAAGGACAGAGTTCATATAACAGGTGGCCCCAGCATTCTTCAACCCAACAAAGCCTTTTATAGGTCGTGGGCCAACTGGGGGTAGGTATTCCCATTCTCCAATGCTTTCGTCACATTCTGCATAATAGAATTAATGATTTCATTAGAACCTATTTATCCTTTTCAGTAAACTACAAAAATAATGAAACCCAAATTTAGCTATACTTTTAATTCACTCAAGAGTTGAATTTTTCTGAAGTATTTGGTAACTATGGTGTAAGGTCAAACATGCAAACTAGACAAGGTTGACATGTATGTTAAAAGTTACAATGAAGGAATCAATACCAATTTACATTGATTTTATTCAGTAATTTTGTTCTTTGCCTGCCTTTCTTTTCTATCCCTTTCTTCCCAAATTATCACTACATACTATATAGTAACCCCTTATCAACTGTGGGTTTATCATCCACGGGTTTGAGTATTGTATTCATATTTTATATTCTGTAAAGCATTTTACCGTCTCCAGTGTGGTGGGAATGCTCACTGGGTCACATCTATCAAGTGTTATGTCCTGTCTATATAATTATGTACTGTATATGTTCCTCACATGATAATTTATCATCATCTACCATGCCCAGATCCTCTCCCTCTTCAACCTCTTTAATTTAACTTACTATGGGATATGAATGATGCTCACTGCATCATAAGAGGCATCTAGCGTAGGAGGGACGAACTCGCCAGTCCCCCAAAAATCTGTTTTCTATGGTTTCATTGTATTATGCACACCTACACACAAAAATTATCAATATAGAACATAACCGAGGCAATTCTATCAATATTCCATGGCGCTGTGTGATTTTACAGTTCTAAAACTTTGACGTGCGTTTACTCATAACTATGATTTGGCGAGTTGGTCATTCCTATGCTAGACGCCTCATATAAAACTAAGAGGCCAAAATTTCTTACCTGAATAATACATATTTGTGAGCATTTCTGCCAGAAGTTTGAGGTTGGGAACACAGCCTGTACATAGAGTGACTAGGAGTTCATATGCTGCTATCACAGTTGGTTGAGTTGAGCACACTGGTATGGCCTGTAAATATATATGTATATATATATATATATATAATCATCATCATCATCATCAGTTTTACAGCCATTTTCCAACATTGTGTGGAAAACAGCTTGTACATAATTTACATACCGAATGATTTCTTATGTGCAGGTAAGGTAACCTAACACCATTATCATGCACTGTTGCCTTCACATATCCTAAACTTGTACTATGGTTGATAAAAAGTTTATCCATTAGACTTTAAGTAATGAAGAATTTAGAACGATGGGGTTAGGGACTTCGAAAAGCCATCGTAAAGTGATTCAATCCATAAAGTATCCAGACCTCCAAAGAATATGAAACCTTGAGCAAAGACCAAACCAAACAAACCAATACATGAACATGTCTGAGACCATCACTCATTTTCTGTTCCACTTGACCCTGGGTTTGGATAATTTTGGAATAGCTTTGTCTTCTCATTACAGCCAAAGCCCTTAAAAATGGGTAGTACTATAGAGGCATCAATTGCCACTGAAGGCTAATGAGGTCATAACATCAGTGTACACTCCAGGACAAACAAATGACTAACAAAGCTAAAAAAAAAAAAAAAAAATCATTTTATCCAGAAGAAGCCATCTGTTTGAATAAAATCACTAAGCGCAGCATCCACCTGACTTTGAACTATAGCTGTTCTGAAATCCTCCACTACTTCAATGCAGGACAAAATTCCTTCAGAAAAAGTAATGAATTCATAAGAGCAACCTTGTGTGTTTGTGCCAAGGCCAATGAAGAGATCTTATCTATGGAGCATTGTAGTTAAGCTTTCTCTGCCTCACATTTGAATCAAAACTGATGCCACTAGAGTACAGGCACAGAGCCTGAGGCCACCCTAGTCATGTCTTCCCTGCCTCACACCTGGGAGGAAGATCCACCACCTTAAAGTTATTGTCACATTATAAAATTATCAATTTAAACTGACTTTTACATATTCCTCTGTTCTGCTAAGGATACCCTGGTTACCTTAAAAACACCTGCATCTGTAGTTATACTGGATACCCCCATAAGTGTCTAGATACATGATGAACTTTATTCCTTTCTATTTATCATATCTATAAGGATTCCTGGTAATTTCATTAAGATCCTCAAAGCCCCCCAAAATGAGTTGTAAGTGAAAAGATTCTGTACTATATAATTAAAACACTTCCTCTAGATCTTATGAGCAGTAATATACCAATAAGTAAACCCAACCCCATCCAAAGGGTTAGCCTCACCTGTCAGATGACTGTCTCAAAACTTTTAAGTATGGATAAACATACAGTATTCATCCACTTAAGGTCCAGAATATTTTTTGCATCCCTAATGCCTTAGGAACACGGGAAAGTCAAGCACTTCCTACAATAAGTCCCAAGGGGTTTTAAATTCTCCCTAGATTTTGAATTCTATGATTACAAATTTGTAACTTGTCACCTTATTCACCCTGAAAGCACATGGTTAATCAATCCAAAATTTCTGGGAAACAAGAGCCTCTTCTTCGGACTGGGATTGACTCTACCTTCCTCACATTAAAAATCAAGAGGAGCACTCCTGTTTAATTCTTGTGAGAATGGACCAGAATTCTCAAAACTTTACGATAAAGTTGCAAATTCTTAAAAAATAAAACAATAAAAAATAGGGTTCACCGGTACTATCATACAGTTCATCTACAATAACAAGTTTAAATTACCCAATCTCCCCTAGCCTTAAAAGACACATTCATTCACAACTGATTAACACTTATTATAAGTGCAAAAATTTTCCCAAACTTTTCAAGGGTTAGAAGATCAAGGGGGATCGCATCCCCATCTTTGGTTAGCATATGAAGCCAACTGGCAATTATAAATGAACCGCAAGAAAGAGCTTAAGAACAATTTGTGAAGTGCTGTGGCCCCCCAAAAACAAAATGCATTTATTTATTTATTAATTTATTACAGAAGCTACTGACATCCAGCAGACACATTTATCACATAAACATGATAAATAAAGGCAGTGCAACAGTACTATCATAAGAATTAAGCTATATATGATCAATATGCAAGAGAAACATGCAAACAACTCATTAAGAGTCAATTAAAGCATCTTGAAACATATACAATTTATACCCTGGTCATTCTCTCCTGGGATGCTTTACCTGGGTTAGTGCCTTGAAGCTGTTAATTCATTTCTTTGGGTGATAATATGAAATATAGATTGTACCCAATTTCCATGTAAAACCAGGTTTACAGATCAAACTGTTCTCACTGAACAATCAAACCCAGTTCCACCTGGCTAACAGACCCTCTGGAGAGTCCCCTATGCTCTACCAGAGAACAATGAAGAGCACACAATAATCTCTCCAAAGAAAATATTATGAACTCTTCCATTTATTTCAAAGGAAGAAATCCAGTGGGCCTCCTACACCATTATAAAAAAATTTAATTGTCTGTAATTCTATTTCAGATCACACCAGGTAATCATTTCAATAACCCTAGGTCAAACCCTTAAGCCAGTATACAAAGCCATCTTATAGGACAAAATCAGTTACTGACTGTGAAATCAATTCTGCTCTGGACACAAGAATGGCTACATCAAATTAAGTTCACTCCTGGACACAGACTGGGTACTGTACACCAATTCCCAAGTGCTGACAGGCTGGTGAAACTCAAACTTAATCTTTGGCAAATGTAAAAACTCTTGCAAAAGTATAGTAATAAAGGCAAAAACATCGCTTTCCATGATAATAACACCATGTACTATATATAGTATGTGGCTCAGCCATAAAAAAAACTAAAGTGCAACAAAATCAAGGTGAGTGCACTTAGCTCTCTATGTGGAGACTGCTGGGAGACCTGTGTCTGCTCTGAACGGAAGTACAGCTGAACTGAATGAGCCAGTCCAACAATGACAGCTGATGGCCATGTCTGAAGTGGTAAATGGAGTGCTCACTGCTAGTGCGATGTCACTACTCATTAGCCTTCATCCTTGAGTAGCAATTATTGCTGCTAAATTCCCTTAATACCATCTATAGTTGTAACAAAGATATAACTAGTCAATGAGCTAGCATCAACCATCAGTGTTGAGGCATTACAAGTCATTTTGGGCAGGCATTAGGTAATAAATGGAGGGCAGAGACAGACACACAACAAAGACAGCAATCCTATAGTCCATTTCCAGTTGCACCAGATATATCTTAAATCCTTCCCCTAGACATCCTATCACCAGTATCCAACACACACTATTACACATACATCTCATTCCCACTACTCCATCTCTTTCCAATTCAGATTTACAGGTACAATACAGTAATTGGAATTTTCATATTTCTCCAATTATATGATCCCCCATTTCCAGCCTCTACCTTATTTATTCAGGGCTTCACAGACTTCCTTTGGCTTAAATTTGACCATTTTCCCCAGTGTATTATAATTCACTGCTAATATTTCCAGCTTATTTACATCTTAAGAAGAAACCACAAATAAATGTGCAATTAATTTTCATGGTTTACTTCTGAAAAGTATGCAATTAACACAAACAATAAAAGCTTACCTGCTCAGCAGGCATCTCAGCCGCATGCTCTAATTGAAGGTACACCTTAGAAAATGGGAATATAAAGTCTTCTACAAGTTCCTGCAAAAAAGATAAAAAATTTCCATTAAAAAAATTTAATACAATACAGTAGTTTTATTTGCTAATCATATACAATTAGTAATACCATTTACACAATGATCGCATATATAATCATTATACTGTATTAAGAAATAAGGCAACAGTTCTTAATCAAGTACAGGTTGACCATCTCAAATCCGGACTGATTGGGACCGGAGCAGTGCCGGATTAGTGATTTTGCCGAACCACAGGTGCTTAGGTTAGGATTAAATAAATAAACACCTCTAACCCACTTCATAACCACCTCACCTTACCTTTAAAATACTCTGTAAATAGAACAAGTTGGACAAGTCCTTGTCCGCCGACCTTTTTTCACCACACACTGCACAAAACTTTATCCCATGTTGCTGCTTGAACCGCTGAAGCCACCCTTCAGTATAATCACACAATTTATTCCTAATTCTGCATGAAATAATTTTGCTTGCTCCCTCACCATCTCCCCGGACAGTTCCACACCTTCACTGACGCGGAGTTTAAACCACTTTATCTAGCTGTGAACATCTTCCAATGTTTTCCTGATGGACATCTGTTTCTTTGATTTACTATCAGCAAAGAACTGGAGCAGCTTTCCTTTCTGTTTTTATTATGTCACACTGTGGAAGCACCAATGTTATACAAGTTGCATATGCTGCGAACAGACACGCCACTGTCGAGTTTTTTGATAAGTTCAACCTTATCTTGTATAGACAACGTATGGTGTTCGCGCGTTACACCATGAGAAGCACTTCCTTTATTCAATGAAGACATGACTGGGGCTAAATAAGAGCAGTTTATAATAATAAATGAAGAAGAACACAGGAATAACTTGTCGCTCCTCAAACACCGTGCCAACAGCCGAGTCTGCTAGTGGCAACACCAAAACAGTAGCGGCGTGTTGGCGAGGAGACCAGCGCGAAATTTGAAATTACGGTGGCCAAATTATGTCCGAACCAGCGGTGGAACCGGATTACTGATTGCCGGATATGAGGTGGTCTACCTGTACCATATTTGACCAGGAGATGTTTCCTTCAAAATAAACAATACTGTATATAAAAATGCACAGTGCAATTACTGAATATGTGGAACAGATCCATTTATAAATAAAAAATATAAAAATTCAAATACAATGGTGTATACACATACCCTAATAAGAAATATTGACTTGGTAGGGTCTCCACCAATTTCAAATTTCTTCTCAGGTGGAAGGAAGGCTACCAGCTCCCGTGTGACACATAAATGGCCCTCCAGTAGCGTGTCATCTACAGGGGGCTCTGGGCCACCTTGGGCCATCTGAGCTACACTGGCCCGTACATTCTTCAGCCATTCCACTTCTGTCGTTAACAGGCGATCAACACCCGTCACAGCCACACTTGACACACACGCCCAGTTCAGCAATCCACACAGCAACTGTAAAATTTTATCTTTTAACATTAAAAATAACAGGCAACTATGAGATATTGTTTAGAATTAGATTAGCCAGTTCCAAGAAAAATTTATCCCTATCATAAGTAAAATCTGCCCACAGGTGCCAATAGAAACAATACTGTGGGCTTGTATGGCTAAGTGATATGTTAGAGAAATAGATGAAGAAATTAATAAACAAACTGTAACAGCATTATTATTAGTGGAGTAAAAACATACCAGTACCAGAGGCAAAAATGAGAATAAGGTAAATTTTTTTATATTAATGAATTGGAAACTCAACTACAACCACAGCTGCCACAAGATTCTCATCAAATTTTCTTCATTATTTAAGCAAATATACATACATTTGGAAACTTCTCATGATCTAAACTAATGATGAATAGTTTATTATAAAATTGCTACCTTTGTTTTGTTTTATTTATCCTGACAGTGATACAGCCAAAAAGAGATCCACCAATCACAATTACCATTACATACAGACTTACTTTACAAAGTATTGCAAGGTAAAATTGCGAGCAAAAGATGTAGGCTGGGGTCAGTGCATCTTTGGACGACTGTACTTATACTTGTGTTTAGTCTAGCCAGGCCACTACCTGGATGGGTCTTGCACAGTTATACAAAATAGTGAAAAAAATTACTCAATATCTTATAAGATACTCTCCCACATCAGTGCTACAGTCACTATCAATATGTTTTGGGTAACCAAAACTAAGTTGGTCCTATCATCCAATCAGTGACCGTTTTTTGCTTAACTGTCTTCACAAACTAACCAGGTCTGGTACTGGAAACCCTGAGATGCCTGTGTCAGCACCTCAGCATCTTTTGATAAGGAAAAAAAATTCTTAGGTAAATCAGAATCTGGGACTTTTTTTTTTAACTTCAAATTTCTTTAAACCAGATTTTCTAAAAAAGGGGGACTCCCTGTTTAACCAACACACCCCCATCCTAAAATGTTCATGAAATTTAGCAAGTGTACACTGTACTGTATACCAAAAGGCAAAATTAAAATCTCTATACGATATATACTGTATATTAAAAATACTGCGCTACCGTTCATGCTCAATATACAGCAAAAGGAGGTAATCCAAATGGTTAGCATAACCACCAACAAAAGGTCTAGGGCAGACATGGGCAACCTGTGGACCGGACCATGTGTTTGTGCGGCCTGTGGAGTGATTGAGAATTTCTATTTTATGTGGCTCACTGCTTAGGTAGATGCAGCCAGTTTGCAGCGAGTAAAGCAAAATTCATTCAATGAATAATCTTCACATAATTCCTTACAGTTTCATCCCCTAAGAGTAATTAACTACAAAAATGTAACAGTGAAATGAGTTAAAATGTTTATATTGTTAACCAACCACCCACCCACACAGTCAGCAATATAAACATTTTAACTTGTGAGAGTTTACGGGACAAGTTCGGTGTGGTCTGTTTGATGGATTAGCTGCTATGTGGCAGTGGGTCACTTGGGAATTAACTAAGGTTGGGTAAGTCCAAGTGGGGTCACAGGCAGTGGTCACACAGGATTTAACTAATTAAGTACTTCCAGAATAACACAAAAACACCTAAATTGCACCTCGGAAACCCATTGTTGGCGAGTAATTAGCACTGGAATAATGTAATTAAAATATCGTAAGGTGGACATAACAAACTGCTTCACTGTCATTGCTAATACAATATTAACATTACTTTTGGTTTAGGTAGGATATAAATTTTGATGGGTAGGACCGCAGAAAAACACCTACATCGTAATGTGGCCCATGACTGGTCTAGGGAGTTGGGTCAGCTTACCCTACTTCCCGAGGCAAATTGATATGTATGGATGACGTGCACACTAACACGTGACAGTCCAAAACACAGTTAGGCACTTGAGTTACAGTAAGTGTGTTGGCATGCCAAATTACTTGAGTCATGTATGTTTAAGCAAATCAAGTTAAATGACTCGAAGTCAATTTGTATCTATTCTAATGGTGTGCACTCGAAGATGACAGGACATGAAAATATTATTGAGAGGGAACACACACTCATGTCTACTAATTGCCTGGTTGTCTCAGCTGCCCTGGCAAATGAGGATGCATGGGTGAAACAGTATTTATGTTTTGACAATCATGGAAATTTTAAAGTCCCTTATTTGTGTGTGTGAATGTGTAATTAAGTTCAATGGATCATGTATACATGAGGCTTACTGTATACTGTATGAAACTTTTTTTTAGTTAATCTTGCAATCTACACTTACAAACCAATTGGCATAATCAAAACCTCATTTTCCATTCAAGAAAGATCCTGTTTAATTTTCTCCAAGTAATTCTGTTCCTTTTTTACTCCAAATACACTCATTCATCAGCCATCTTTCTTGCCATCACATCCTCTCAGTTTGTCCTTCCTGTTACATACAACATAACTACCTAAAACAGAAGAAATGAACGTACCTGGAAATACTCCTTGGAATATTCGCCATTAAGGCCATTGAGAACATTGAAGAGCATGACAATGAAGACCACAAGTGTGTGCGGGGAATTGGAACACTTTGTCGCCATAAGTAGTAACTGTTCTACTGCACACTGTCGAATACTGCGCTCCCCGCCTACTAGCACCAACCCCATAACCAGCTTATGGAACTGTGTGTCCTTGGTTAGAGTTTCCAGGGCGGGAGGGTAAAGAGCCAATACCACAGACAGTGTTTCCAAACCTTCACGACAAACTGTGGGTGAAATAATCAGACATTCTTATTAGCTTCAAGATGTAGGAACTGTATTCTTCATACAACACAAATCCACACCACTTTTATATATAAATATATATAATCAGTTTGTTGGTCTCTGTGGTGTAAATGGTACTTGTACTGCACAAATAATCTGTATACTGTATACAATATTACCTCCTTATATTGAAAAAAGAAGAGAGAGGTCGGTAGGTGGGTTGGTGGTATAAAGTACACCAATATTCTATAAATCACAAGGAAGAGGATGTTCACCTTGCAAGTCCTCTGGGTCTGGAGGTTTAGTGGGAGGTCGCTCAGTTGCCTTTTCAATTTCATCAAGAGATGATGTTATGAGATGGACTTGCCCTGCTGCCGACGCCCAAGTTATCTTAAGAATAGCTCGAACGACACTCATGTCTGGAACTACACCAGTTACCTGCAAAAGAAAAATAATTCATCATTTTCTGATACACACAAGGACACCAGGATAACAAAATCATTACAGTATACATTATTGTAATATACATTCTACAGTATATACATGATGATGTTCATACATAATCTCTTCACCTTTGAAAGTTAATATTTTCTCATTCTACAACTGTTTAGAATTTCACAATCTAATACTGTACACTAAATATTAAAATTAAAGCTCTTCTTGCAAGCCAAATTATATATATTTTTACTTTGAGGTACAAAATATACAATTGCAAATAGATATACAGTACAGTAATATATAATGACCACGAGTGTTAACAATTCACAATTTAGCCAAGATCCGAACAAATACTGTATGAAAAAAATATAAAATTCCCGAGCACTGTAGACACCATGGGCTATGAAACGGCCAAGTTTCATTATCGTAATTATCTTTGCTGACTACAGTATATATAAATTGTTTTTATTGAATAATCTGCTGTTACAGCACATTATAATTTAAGACACAATGGGCTCCTTGTGGCTTTTACTTTCCAGCCACTTGGCAACACCACACTATAGTCCCAGAATCCTTGATGCTATCCAATGAGTCGACGCCTTTTGCGTCACGATGCACGAGGTGAATGTGTATACAGTATTATATTTAATATTTTCTTTATATATACAGGAGGCCACACAAATTCGCGGGGGTTTGATTATCAAAACAGCAGCGAATCACCAAATCCGTGAATAACGTTTGCTGGCCGGGGAGGGGGGGAGGGCATTTTTTACTTGTGCGCAGTACAAAGAAATGTATATTCCCTTTATGCGTTTGCCTTTAGGACAATTAATAATTTATTTTACCTCACAAATAATCAGAAACAAATTTAATTAAAATGTGACAGTCTACCCTCAAGTCCATGCTTTATTAATAAAGCATGTACTTGAGGGTAGACGGTCGCATTTTTAATAAATTTGTTTGAATGTATACATGTAATGTATTGTGTGTGTGTGTGTGTGTGTGTGTCTACATGCACACACACACACACAAAACACAAAAAAATAAATAATAATGAGAAAATCCTCTCACAAATAACCAGAAAAAAAAAACATTTGTGAAAATGTGAGTCTACCCTCAAGTCCGTGCATACTCACATTTTTTATAAATTTGTTTCCAATTACTTGCGAGAGAACTTTCCCAATATTATTTATTTGTTTGTGTTTTGTGTGTCTACACACACACACACACTTATTTACAATACAGGTAAAGGAAATTGCTGTCACTAGAACGAATGGCTCCGTCCCAGCCGCGAAATGCCGGCAATTTTAAAACTACCCACACCCATACTTGGGTACACCCAGAGTATCATCTGCAAATAATAGAGGACCACAAAATAAAAATCTGCGAATTGGGGGTGGGGGATCTCCTGTATTAAAAAAAAAATTGCCTAAGTTTAGTCACTTGTCATGAAGATTAACCTCTGGAAGGTACAAGATATAAACAAAAAGGTAAATTTCTGCTTGACACATTTATGAATGGTATTTTAGTGCAAGATACGGGAATTACTGTACTGTATAAAAATATAATCTCTCCAACAAAAGATCACCAGGAATTAGTTTTCTAGTCACACTACATAATCTCAAGATAATGAAGACTCTCAGTTACTGTCATCATAAACATACAAGACATTAATGTCATTAGTCAACATATTTTCAGCACGCATACACAATACCCCGTGATCTTACAAAGTGAGCCCAGAGGCATGACGTGATAGTGACCTGGTCGTGAAGTGATTGAGCAAGACGGGATGCCACATTCCGAACCATACAATCAGATGTTGGATTCGGAATATGGTGAAGAGCTTCTTGTAGCACTAGAGCTTGAGTTTGAGTGGATGCTGTTAAAGTACCGGCACCTGCAAGGAAAAAAATTCTTACGTTTCTCAAAGCCAAATATATACAGTACAGTACATGTGTTTGTGTGACCTGATCTACAAAAAGTCAAACATAGGTCATAACATCTGAGTTAAGGCCTAAAATAGGAAAAAATATTCAACTGTCAACATTTGTCATAAAAAGGATGAATGGAGATTATTCATTAAACTCTACTTCGCTTACACATCCTCCTTGGTTTCAAATATGCCAAAAGTAACAAACTTTGGTCAATATAATGCTCATAATACCTGTTATGGCACCAGGTAATGGAGTTTGCTTGACATACACGTACAGATAAATCTGAGAATATTATGAAAATGTTTCACCGTTGTTGTACTATTCAATGTGCAACACCACTTCTTCAATGTAGTATATATACTGTACTATGAAATATTAATACTATGGGTGACAAAAACTTCTCTCTCTAAGTTATCAAACACACGGAAGAATATTAATAATTCAATATTTACTTGTTGTTGGTGGCATTTCTTCTGTTCCACCATTGCTGTTTGTGGCTGTTGTACCACTTGATGTGACCGAACCAGCAACTACATTGACGATGGCATATCCTACCGTCACAAATGCCAATTTTGCCATCTTTAATACCACCAAGAAGGCTGACCTGGAAAAAAATATATATATATATATTGTATTTGTTTTTACACTTTTAAACCTTTTTCCACCAAACTGCAATCATTAGTGCTTTTTAGCTATCGTACCAGATGTGTTCAAAGACCCAAGTAACAATTACAGAAAAGGAGATTAAAAATCCACTTTATTTCAAACCAGAATTGTACTCTGGAAGTATTTGAGTTTTTCTATGGGGCAAGTATTCATAGACTAAATACTGAATAAGACACAGCTATGCAATAGACAAATTAACTACAAATGCTAACTTAACCTTTTTTTTTTGTCAAATCTTGAGTAATCTCTCTCACTCACACACACACACACACACACTACCTTTTTGTTGGCATGTCAGTGTTAGAAAGAAAGTTGTTCTTGGCCAGCATGTCAATAATAAGCTTGACTCCACCACTTTTCATGAAGTTGTACTGAAATTCTAAAGCGTCTGTCATCGGGTTGTGAGCAGGCATGAGGAGGGAGTACAGTACCTGGGAGAAATTGGCAGAAAATAATTATATGAGTTTGCAAGTTATATGTACCAATAATGGAGAAAAATGTGAAAAAAATAACAAATGTAATAGCAATAATATTAGCAATAATTATAATAACAATAACAGCAATAGTAGTAGTGGTAGTAGTAGTAGTAGTAGTAGTAGTAGTAGTAGTAATAATAATAATCCTTTCTTCCTTAAAAACAACAGTACTAACGGAATGCTTAACACACAAGTATGTTTAGAAGTGACCTACTGTATAAGAATAAAGGACATATCAAGTAATACAACTACACCAGCAAGTTCATTAAAAAACATTGTCATTAAAAGTCTAAATTCTTAGTTTAGCTCATAATTAATTTTTAACATGTGCCTTGAAAAAAAAAATTTTGCTGTTTTTTTTTCAAAAGTCTCATGGCTCCAGCTGGTTTGGGAAAATTAATAAACAATGCATACTCAACAAACAGGACAAGAAAAAGTGAAGGGTAAATTTGAGCCAATAATCAGTGAAAAAAGTTGACCAAAATTCAGCATTAAAGGGGGGGGCCAATACAACTAGTGTATCTAACAGTATCCTATTTATATCCACTCCCAACCCAAGAACTGCACTTTAATGTTTTCCACCTCCCAACTTTTACTAGTCCTTCTCCACTCTGGCATTAAGTGACAAGAATCAAGAACAGAAAGCACTCTCCTTCATTGTTTCTATCTGCTGCACCAGATGTGTTCCACTTTGGTGTTTCCCTTCCACAACAAAGCCCCAATATACGTAGAGGACTTGTTCCTGTCACTACATACATCACCTAACACCCTCAACAGGTGTCATAAAATAGAGAATTCCTTGAAAATAAAAACAAATTCTGTCAAATGTACCTGTAGGTTATAGAGAACCTGTGATGGTGAAGATGAAAATACAATGCTCTCCAGGGAAGGGGACATACTCTGCTCCCCAATCTTCGCATGCTCCATACATATTTTTCGGAGATTGTTCACTGTAACAGAATTTTTTACAATACTATTTACACTCTTTGGGGTTTTTAATTACAAAAAGGATTAAACATGTTACCATCTATAACCATTTCCCTAACCTTATTTACCCCATAAGATGCAACGTCTGCCCAACAGTGATTTGTACAACACAGTATTTTTCACCTAACACCATCACTGGATGAGATTTTGCTACATATGCATGTCAAATGGGCTTTTGTCCTGACAGTCTTTTACCCAAACAATAGTACTGGGTCTCTTACAACTGGGAGCCATTTGAACAGCCACCCAACAATTACTTGTGTTTATAATTGGGATACTTTTAATCAGAATCTACTAGTTAAATATGCATAGCACATAATAATTATTATAACAATGTATACTGTACATGTAATTTAAATGTTAAGGACCGTAAAACCACTCATTCCATTGATTACAAAAGCTACACACAATTTATCAACAAAAGAACCGAAAAATATGAAAAATGTAGACGACATCATCTGCTACAGATTTATTTAATAATTGTCTTATTCAATATTATGAAAAGTTTTATCAAGAAAACTAACAATCATTCAGATTTTATATCATTTAAATAGAACACAGTAAAATATGGTAAATCATTAAGCTTTATAATACTGGTAATACGGCAAAATTTTTGAATTACTGTACCTGTATACTGGTCAGCAGGCATGATGATAAGCAGTGCCCTTGCACTATCTCTTAGCTGTGATAATTGTAGAGTGCAGCCAAGGTCAGCTAATTGTAGAAGAAACTGTGTATATTTGGCCTGACTAGACATTATCTGAAATAAAATGTTAAAAATTAAATGGATTAATTAATGACACCATTAACAAAGCAAGAATCTATTTCATGCTCAGCTGGTACACAAATAACTGTCATATCTCATTAAAAAAGATTTTCCCACATATATGCTTAACTAGTAAGCAAAAAACAAATGCAGCATAGACACTTTTAACACATGGTGTTCCCCTCTTAGCATAGTGAGAGTTGTGCAGTGACTGTTGCTGCTCCTGCCTCCTGTGTGGCAGCCACTCATGGTAGGCATGTGAATTTTTATCTTAAGTTTCGAAGTTGAAAATCTTTCTTGTTTTCTTGCTAGCTGCACCATCTATAGGCTGCACTGGGCACTTTGAAGTCAGTACAGTATAGTACACTAGCACACAAAAGGGACAAAACCAGCACAAAAGCTTATACACATGATACATGAATGGTGGTGACATGCTTTGCATCGAGACATTACTCTTACTTCACAGACAGCATGGTGCTGGCAAAAAGACTCTCTTACCCAATTTTTCTACCATACACCAACCCTACAAATTTCTTAAATTTAATAAAACGAGAGCACAGATCAATTTGTTAAATATTTATGCCCTGTTAACTACAGGGTTACACACCTGCAGGGACCACCTTACTTATATGTTTCCAAAAGTCACATCTGTCTCACAGTATCCCATTTATCATTATCATCGTTTAAGCCTCATATAATTCACTCTTTATGCTATGAGTCAAGTTCTCAGAAGATGGCCACAGTGACTCCACATTACTGAGGCCGTTACTCCTGACTGTAGATATGCTAATTGGTAAGGGACCCCCTAATGTCTATTAGTTACTTTTTACTACTCCCAGGTATACAAAATATCCAAGAATGCCTAAGTTTCACAACCTACATAGTGTACAGAGAATATGTTGGACGGGATATGGTACAGGTGTAAGGAAAAACTGGAATACAAAATAAGAATAGAACAGTAATTTATAAAGTTAACAGTATCATAATATCTTTTGGTTTACTATAGCCAAAACCTTTCAATGTAATTCTAGATCTGAGAGGCTGAATACTAATACTAAAGAAATAACCCAGTTTTCAAACTCCCATACATAAATAATCATTAACTTACAACACCAGGAAGACAATTTTCAGCTTCTACATTTGGTCCCTCATATGGATGCTGAGGTGAGCCTGTGGAAGAGTCTGAAGAGCTGTCTGGGGATGATGGCATATTGCTTCCCACCTGGACAAGTTTTGCTGTCAGTACCTACAAGAAACAAAAGTTAGAGGCATTGTTCTGGCTAATGGGAACATTATACTGTATATGTATTTTTGAACTCACAAGATCTACACACTATGTTGTATATAAACTAGACACAAAACACAAAGCCACCCTGAAGGGTATTGGTAAACAATTAACAAGTATAGTAATTTTTCACTATTTTACCACACTATCTGTAATAGCAACAAGTGAAAAATCATTATCTTTTCCATAAAAAAATTGGAAGTTTAAAACACTGTAATCCATTTCTGAAGAAAGAACTTCAGGCAAATATAAAGGACTATGTTAAAAATAGACCTTACCATTTTATCTCTAAGAGGCATGTGGGCAATGATCTTTTTATCATCCACAGGGTCTATTGGGTCTGTATTCAGGTACAGCTCTACTTTTACATTTGGAGCTGAAGATTTCAACCGATGAAGAACCTGTAAAATATATATACAAATAAATAAAAAAAATATAATACAAGACTCCACATTACAATGCTCCAAGTCTAATAACCTACATATGTACACTTGATGCCAATACTCAACTCCAAAACACAAAAATAATATTACAGAAGGGTCTTAAGAGTACGTGAGGATTACGTTCCTGGGATCCCCGCTTATATTCAGTTCCCCCTGTATGTATACGTGTAACCCCATTTTTATACTTGAGGTAACCAATGCACAACTTCAGAGTTTGATACACCACTCCTTAGTAAGTCCAAAAGTTAGATTTTTCTTGAAAAGTTCTCAGTGCAGTATGCCCATTTTTTTTCTCTCACTTTCACCACCACGAACAATTGCCCAAAATTTTCCTCTTGGGGGCCATGATTACGGTAAAATTCACCAATGCAAGAGGGAGAAGGCCGCCTGAGTTGTGTTATGGTTATTTTTCAACTCGTAATTTTGGGTAGACATACATAATTTTCTTCTAAACAAAAGGAATAAACTTTCTTCTTCCTCTGGAGTTAGCATGTGGGGCACGAGATGGGGGAGCAGAGTGAGGGATCTCTGCTGCTTGCTGTCTGTGTCCGGTGTGTAGTATTATTTTTATTTACTCCTCACGTTTACTGGTAAAGTATATATTATTTTATGTACAAAAAATAACTTCTCTCAGCGACGTGACACAGTTTACCCACTCAGCCACCCAGGTGACTTGCATCAGGGGAGGGAGTGAACGCAGCTGGAATTGTGAGTCGGCGACCCAGTTACAGATCACTGACTCCACACACAAACATTCATTTCCCACACATACACACGCATGCTCTTCATTTTCCTTATTTTATAGTTTTATATTTTTTCTTTATTTCTAAGTCACATTGCAATATATATATATATATATATATATATATATATATATATATATATATATATATATATATATATATATATATATATATATATATATATATATATATATATATATATATATATATATATATATATATACAGTATTACCCCGCTTAACGCGCTTTCACTTAACGCGTTTTCGCATATACGCGGTGCCTTGCCAAAGCTGAACTTTCACTTAACGCGGATTTTTCCACAGCAACGCGGTGAGTGTCCGGCTCGAGAGCTATTTTTAGATTCGCACCACCCCCCACCCGCCACCCTGCCTGACTGCCTGTTTTAGCTCATAAAATTCATACAAATTACCCAGCCAGAATATAGTTTACATTGCTGGAATTCTTATAATTTGGTGATCATTTTGAATATAAACAACATATTTTTTGCATTAAACATACAATTTTTAGATAAAATGTTTAATCTGAGTAAGTATGTTATCTTTTGTCCAAAATATATGACATTTATATTCAAAATATTCCTGGTCTTACAAGGAATCCAGCAATGTCAATTATATTATCCTAACTTTAGTTTGAGGTATTATTTATTAAAATTTAGTGGTTATCCCACACATCTCCTTGGGACGGTTGGTGGGGGGTGGGGGGGAGGGAGGGACCAACCGACCGACCATCTGTTACCCGGTGAAGAATTATTTTTTTTTAACTGAAGATATTTGTTTTAGCTCATAAAATTCATACAAATTACCCGGTCAGAATATAATTTACATTGCTGGAATTCTTATAATTTGGTGATCATTTTGAATATAAACAACATATTTTTTGCATTAAACATACAATTTTTAGATAAAATGTTTAATCTGAGTAAGTATGTTATCTTTTGTCCAAAATATATGACATTTATATTCAAAATATTCCTGGTCTTACAAGGAATCCAGCAATGTCAATTATATTATCCTAACTTTAATCTGAGGTATTATTTATTACTAAATGTTAAAAACTCTTGAATGGAGGATTGGTGGGGGGTGGGGGGAGGGTTGGGACTGACCGCGCGGTTGGAAGAGGGGGGGAGGCAAGGTGGGGTACTTTGATTGACAGATAGTGTTGAAGAATATATTTTTTTTTTTATTAACTGTAGATATTTGTTTTAGCTCATAAAATTCATACAAATTATCCGGCCAGAATATAATTTACATTGCTGGAATTCTTATAATTTGGTGATCATTTTGAATATAAACAACATATTTTTTGCATTAAACATACAATTTTTAGATAAAATGTTTAATCTGAGTAAGTATGTTATCTTTTGTGAAAAATATATGACATTTATATTCAAAATATTCCTGGTCTTACAAGGAATCCAGCAATGTCAATTATATTTTCCTAACTTTAGTTTGAGGTTATCCCACACATCTCCTTGGGACGGTTGGTGGGGGGTGGGGGGGGGGAGGGAGGGACCGACCGACCATCTGTTAGCTGGCTGTGTACTGTAGTGTGAGAGGGGGAGGGAGTTGAGTCCATTATTTGAATGGACATTAACTTGGCGACTGTATTTCTCTTAAGTATTAATTGTGTGCATGTACCATCATAAAATTAAGATGTTATTTTTACTACAACATAGTTATTTGTCGTCAAAAAGTGGAGTTTGGGGGTCGGGCTGGGTTCTATTGGAATTAATCCCATATGTTCTGTTGTTCACTTAACGCGGTTTTCACTTAACGCGGGACCCTCTGGGTTCAATTGACGCGTTAAGTGGGGTACAACTTATATATATATATATATAGTATATATATATATATATATATATATATATATATATATATATATATATATATATATATATATATATATATATATATATATATATATATATATATATATATATATATATATATATATATATATATATATATATATATATATATATATATATATATATATATATATATAAAGTAATACAGTTCATCTAACCTGTCTCCTTATCGAGCCCATTGTGTCATTTGTGTGCGTCCATATCTCCATTTCATCTGGCTGTCGGCCCTGTATGGGAAACCTCACCAACAGTGATAAGTGCTTCCCTCTTGATGCTCTACAAAGTATGAAAGAAAATATGAGACTACCACTAAAGCAAGTACTGTACACATGAAGGCTTTCACAAAAATATTTATAATAGTACTGTATGTCACACTTTATAATAAATTTGACAACTCCATACCTTCCAAGAGGTAGAATAGACCGGTCATCCCCAAAGTCTCCGTCACACTCCGATACATATTCAAATAAAACCTTCAATACACGACACATTCTTGTAGTTTCTTGCCGAACTCTATTAATAGAATCCTTATCCTGATCTAACACTGATACAGTGTCATACATGGCCTGTAAAGAAGAAAAAATAAATGAAATCCTTAAATCAATTGTATTCAAACAAAATCCACCAGCAACAGACAGATATAAAACCTGTTGAGCAGTATAATAAATTGATGTACCTGTATGTCGACTTTTTTGCAAATCCAGCCCAACAGAATTACTGCACGCAAAGAATATTGACCAAAGTACAGCACCGGTAGTACATTATGTTGAATTACCAGACACCTTTACTTCTGAAGCATTGTAAAACAAGAAGGGATTCTCCAGTAATTCTATTCCAATTTGGTTAATATCAGACTGACAACACCTGAGCAAACATTTAGTACTAAGATCAATGGTGAGACTGTTGCACAGCTATCATGCAGAATTCTCTAAAAAATAAATAAATAAATATTGGATAATATTTAACAAGATACAGTATCACTGGCTTCCCTTTTAATTTACTGGTCCTTTTATTATTCAATTAAAAATTAGTGTAGTGGCCTACACTATACTCTAACAAATACACTTTTAAGTACTGTATACAGTGCCTTAAATGAGAAAACCTGGCAAGTAAAATTTTCTGTATAGTATTTTTAAATGAGGACTGGAGTTATAAATGTATTATTTATAAATCAGAAGAAAACCTTTGTACAGTATTATACAAACTGTTCAAGTTTCTACATGTGCCTATATGACTTGGCACTGTCCCAGACTACCCTACACAACAGTCAATCTGATAAAGCAACATACTAGTAATATTGTGGAAGAAAAGCTTTAAAATTGAATGTATCCTCACAGAAAATGCTCTGACAAGTACTTCAAACATACATACACTAATCAGTAAAGAGACCACATACCTCACAAAATATTTAGAACAATGGATAATACCTAAAGTGCACTTGCTTATTAATGTTAATCCACTCCGCTACTAACACCGGCCATCTTAACTGACACAAACTAACATAGACTGAAATTTTAAACAAAAGTGGACTGGCTCTATGAGGGATGCTCATTGGTTGCAGCCAATCAGCTCAGATGTGACTATGACATCACACTCACAGATCACTGTGATTAGCTTACGGCCATAGGCTTCCACGCTGGCACTACAGGCTGGGCGGAATGCTGTTGGTTTGGGAGGCGGGAAATCATTTTCTACTACTTGAATTTACACAAATCTCTAAAAATATGTCATTATTTACTCTAAAAGCAAAAGCATGGCATTATTACCCAGATTAGGGGAGTCCAGGTTAGAGGGAGTTTACTGTATATTAAGTTTTATCTCGTAACTCATTCCCAACACTATCAAATTATATGTATTCATGTCTTACCTTAAGCCGTGACATACAGCTAGAGAGAAAGTCATCATGTATGATAACCTGATTGGCTTGAAGCCTTGGCCCAAGATTTGTATATGTTTCCCGCAACAGTTCAATGGCACGGCATGCAATATCTTCCGTCCCACATAATACAACCTGTTGAAGTAAAGGAGAGGAGTAACTTAATCTTCTCAGTGTCTGTTAATAAAATTAAACAATATTTTAAAACTAGTTTACAATGCCACTCATCTGATTCTTTTAAAACTAATTTATATTTCAAGTAGAAGTCAATATTTTACAATAAGAGTAACTGTTTTAAACCAGAGCATATTATACTCACTCTCCAAACATAATCTACACCTATAAGGTCATCATCATCCATGAGATACACTCTCCTCTTCAGAACCAGTTTACCCTCCTTGGAATTAACAGCTTTAAAAAAACGGTCAAAACATCTGCAAAAAGAAGTTAATTAATAAATTTCATTACTGGTCCCAGATTTCACGAACCTACTATCCACACTTCTAAAATTATTCAACAGATTAACTGCTACATACATACCCCAAAATATACCCTAAATTTGCTAGTTCTATTTCTCAAGATTCTATATAACATCTCACATACTTTAAACCAAAATTTCAAATACAGTACGTAGCCTCTCTCAGTTATAAATGGCCAGAATTCATACAAAGATTGTATCGAGTATCCTCGGAACCACTCCACTCTGGACACTTAACTTCTATCAAAGTTTCCATGCACCAATCTGTCCAAGCATTCTGAAGTGGGCCTGAAGGATGCTACTACCTATATAATGTTACACAGATTATAAAGAAATAAAATAAAGCAACAAATACCTTCCAAAATATTTACTACAAACATCTTCACTTACTTCATGCCATTCTCAGTCAGCAGAGAGGGATCAAGTTGTAAGATATTGTTTTCAAAGAAATCCTTATTGATTTCAGGGTCAAGGTCTGGTTCATCACCCATTAGCTTAGAAAACCACTTGAAGCAAGACTCTCGATCTACAGTAAATACAGCATTCTCCGCTAAGCAGTTCCAAATTTGTTTAGCCTGGGGCGCACACAGCCATAACTGACCATCCTGTTGGAAGAAAGAAAATGTCAAAATTAACCACACTTTCTCATTCTCTTTTTTTTTTTTGCAACAGTACAAGTGCTCGGAATTAATATCAAGCAAAGGCTCTCCCTTCGTTTGCAATCATTCAATCACTTTATCTGCCATATTGTTTACACTGTTCCCTTCCACAACAAGGCCTCAAGACTTTCATATGGTCTGACCCAGTTGTCCACTCGACCGAGCATCGTCAACCAGCAGTACATTTATCCCCAAAACACTGATATTATGTTTTAACTACCCATCTTAAACTCACACATGACTCGTATACAAACTCCATCAAACACCATTCCTCTCCACATTTCTCCAATTTCTACTCTCATGATTCCTCTTAAAATAATTCTATTTGCCTTCCAGCCATTCCATTTTACCTGCAGAATTTTGCTTTATATATTCTCTCATTCAAAACACTTCATCTACAGGACAGACAACCTTAAAATACAAATCCACTAACCTTTAATAAAAACCTAAGGAAACTAAGTCGCTCCTGAACTTGGAATATGTGATTATACCGCCTGTCTGGTACAATATCTGCTGGATTCAAGTCAGGATTTTCTGTAAAATTCATAAACAATGTCAAACAATTAAGCATCTAATGTTTGCATTAGAGTCTCATTAAATAACCCAAATTAAATTCTTTTTTGGCACCATATTCTCAAACTTTCCTGTTTAATCATTACATGAATGTAAAAGCATATACAAAGCAATTAATAGTCTTTACATACTATTCGTAAGTTTATATCAAAGGAATAACAAATTATGTCTTATCATGATGATTTCTTCACAACAAAGATATACGTATAATATATAACATGTCAAAGCTAACATCTACTGCCCTTAGGTCATCTATGGAAATCCCCAAAATTTATTGTACAGTAAGGCCCCGGTGATACTGCGAACATCATCACTGGTGGACCTTAATCCCACGAGGGAAAAAGTGGTAATACGTACAGGGGTACTTTGAAATTGAAAAACCCATACAAATAGAAAATAGTTATATTTATTGCTGTGATATAAAGGGGATTTACTGTACATGTAATGAAAAGGATCCCTCAACCAAGTTCTCTGGGATGAATTCATTTAAGCTGTAAGATTAAATTTTGCAAATAATGGCAATAAAAAAGTTAACACTACTCTACTGCATCCAAATATACCAAATTCTTAATATCAAAGTCATTGTATACTCTATTCATAAATACACTTTGCACTTCTCCACTTGAATCACACCTTTCGCAGCCGTCCTAATATTCTTCATATACGTTGTAAGATTGTCAGCTACAAGAACCACAAGGGAATGCTGGTTTTGGAGTTTGGAGATGATATCATGACGGTAGCTGACATACGGCGTGGGACGCTGATGCTGCGAGAAATTGGGCGGGGCTTCGCTGTAGGAGCAACATATTTCTCGTATTTGCTTAAGAGCTGGAAGTACCCACTTGTCGTGCTTGAGTTCATCAACACATCTGTCTAGCCAGTGCTTCTTTTGAATATCTCGGTCCTGGAAAGTAACATTATGTATGAGATATAACCTCTTCTTATAAAAGATTTGCAGGACTGTAAATTCTAAAACAACTTTACTATTTTTATGGCCAGTCATCCAACATTAGGTGACTCGTCTATTCCACTCACCCAGGCTGCTGGTCAAAAATCATGAGACCCTGTACAAAGTTTTATGAATTTGTTGTGCCTTCCTGTCAAAACCAAGTCCCTGAGAGGAATCTTTAGTAGCAACAGTCACCATTTAAGATAGGAGGCAGCAAGCTGTGGTTGTCATGCTAACTAACACAATTCAGTTCCAGCTTTCCACTCACCCTAAGTAGCTTGTCTCCCTGTCAATTCTGCCTCCTATTTCTGGAGACAAGTGATGTTGCCTCATATTTTGTAGGCCTAAACCAGTGCTGGCTGGGCCACACAGTCCTCACTATCATTATTTTAGTTCATATCAAGTAACATAGGAGTTGGGTAAGTAAAGATCACAAAACACCTTGAACAGAACTTACTTGTTTATGGTTTCATTAAAAACTAAGTAAAAATATTTAGAGGACTACAGTGTGAGTGTACCCAAAGAAACTGAACCATAAAAAACTTTAGCTTAAGGAGATTGGATCAAGGACCACAGAAACCTCAAAATAAAAGAGAGGAAATAATAGGTTTAGATAGTGTATAGAATGTGGGCAGTGCTAAAATATGAAACTACCATTCTTTACTAGTTCATATCCTAAATTTGAACATACCAGTAGCTAATGCATACAAAGTAAATTCATAGTTATAAGCACACAACCCCATCACACCCTATCAACAGATGACAAAAGTGTAACATCTGAAAATACAGCACTTACAATTCAAGGACATTTTAAGTATACAGCAACAGAACAAAAAGTCATATTTCCATACCTGTGAGCATGAGTAATCTAATATCTTGACATGAGCATTAAGAGCTTGATCCATTATCTCTGTTGGTACATCATCTGAATGAGCTAATGACCACAGCAGTGTTAAAACCTGGCAAAAAAAAAAAAGACAAATAAAACAACATCAACCTGTTTGCTATAGAGGGAGAGAACGAATTAAACACAAGTCACATCAATGACCGACTACAGCATTTGTCAATATATACAATATAGAAGTTCTCTGACTAGCATTCAGTTGACACACACAAATTTATCATCAATAATATGTCCACTAATGTACACTTCAGTTACCAAATATTTATCATTCTAATTTTACATCATAATCACTTGGGAGTACAAATCAACATTAAAGTGCTGTACTTTCCAAACCACTTCTTAATTTAAGATAAACAAAATTTAAGGTATTATTATTTCCCAAAGAGAAAGTTCAACTCACTCTCTCCAAACTCATCACAACATTTAGATTGTGAATAACCCATAAACTTTTGAAATATTCTACTCTACAGACAAGAATTTAGTTTACTTTAGTACAAATATCCTTACTAGGCATCAAATATCATCTTACATGCAAAACTAAATATAATTGCTTACCTCATTCAAAACCTAACCATCTCTCGTTTAATAACCTTCACCACTCACAACGTAACTATCTCACAGCTGACCATACCACTCCTCCACAACACAGCCATCTCAAAGACAATGATACGTCCAACTCATATATCCAACTGGAAGATGGTGACATTTCTCGCCCACAACAGCACCACACTGCAGCTCATAATTTTCCTTACTTCAGCAACTAAACATGTGATCAAGTGAACAAAGAGAATTATTCCATACCTTATGTGCCATGACCCCATCTTTGTCATCTTCTGCTAATCTACGTATTAATTCTAGAAGTTTCTCTCGCTGTTTTTTACTGGCTTGACTCCAGCTAGTCTGTAGGACAAAAGAAAGTAGAAAAGGTCAAACAATATCAAACCAAAGTATCATACGTTCTCATCTAAAATAATATATTATGGTACTAGTCAATAAGTTTCACCAGGAGCCTGTCCAGAGTTGAAGGCTCCCATAACTTACTTGGAAGCACCCAAATAAGTGATCAAGCTGCTCAGGTGAGAAATCCCATGCTAGCTTAGCCAGGAGGTCATGTACATTTTTGACAATGGCTTCATGCTTTCCATGTTGTGCTGCCCATATGTCATCTAAATCCTCCAATGTCAGAGCCTGCAAAAAAGACAGGAGAAAGCATATAACATATGTAGATAATTATAAGAGACACTTTTCACAAAAATTTAGTTACTTTCCCTAATGAGTAAAATGTTACTTACCACTGAAATTAAGGCTGACTATTATACACACAAGACATTTGAAATCTATGTCTAATAAAACGATTAATGATTTACAAAGTAGTATAAGGGTACCTATCATACAGGGAATAAAGCCACTTTAAGTTCCAAGTAATCCACCTTAAAACTGATCATGGACACAATTTACAATATGAAAAAATATAATATATGATTGGTGGTGGAAAGGCACAGACGTACTTCTCATTAAATAGGTATTGTAAATTTACCTTTTCCTTGATGATAAAGCGTATGATCTTCTCTAACTTCTCAACATATTGCGGTTGATGGAGGGAATCTCGAAGCACAATCTGTAGTACCCGGTTCTCCTTGATCCACTCCTGTAACACACAAGAAGTCAGCAACAAACCTTAATACCACTTAAAAGCACACAAGGAGAATATCATAGCATAAACAATATCAATAACAAAATAATAATATACAAAGGTTTTGTAAATAAAGTTATACAAATGGAACCAACTGGTAATACACCCATGATTCTTACATTATTGGCAGTACAGCTCACAAAGCAATTTCCAGAGCATAATAATAATAAATTATTTCTGAGATTTCATGACCTATGACAATAATTATTTATATACTGTATTCAATACCAAATACACACCATAATATAACAATATAATGGCAATAACAGCATAGAAATTATGACTGAAAAAGGTTGTCCAGTATTTAAAGATTACTGTAGTTATAGTAAAGATAATGGATTGATAGCCTGGATAACAGAGTCCACAGGATGAGATTTAATAAAGGGAAAATGTGCAAACAGCCAATCATTAAGACACTAATCAGATGTAAACCCACTGAAAAATTATTCAGCACCCGTGTCATATTGTATCACGCCGTAAGGGTGCCGAATACTTTTTTAGTGGGTGTACACACACACATTATCAGTCAATCACAAGAGGATCAAGATAAGTAATAAGTACAGTTTCTCTGCCAATATAATCTAGTTTAATTTTTTCATTGACCAAAATAAACAATTTCTCACCGCCATGCGCTCTGCAGTCAACCATTCTTCTTCTTCAACAGGTCCATGCCGGTGGGAATAATAGGACACATTGGTGATCACCTTATTCACTTCATTCAAGGCATTCATCTTCCCATTGAAGGATGAAATTTGCAATAACCTGAAAAAAGAACCACTCGTGTTAATGGTTCTGCATCTATTTCACCATAAATATACTCTTATGAAAATGTTATCAGTCTTTCCACACTCAAAAAGTTGTTTCCTCAAGAGAAAACCACTTGGTCCATTCCAAGAGACAGTCTCATAGTCCATATAAAATGACATCAGTTGGTCCATTCCAAGAAATGGCAAAGTTAATTTATCATCTCAAAATAATATTCATATTACACTAATTATTACAGTACATTCCTTCATTAAACCCTCTCAGAAGGAGAATATCCCAAGTCTTGTCTTAAAATTTAAACAAAATCATCTCCCATAAGGTTGTGTCACTTTGGGGAAAACATAAATGTTAGAAAATAAAAAATAAGACAAGTAGAAATACAGTACATATACATACTTGCTCATTTCCTATACACCCTATATTTGCATATGCAGTGCACATTATTTAACCTTATGACAAAAAAAATTCACAAGAATCATATTAATCATTAATAAGACAAAGTACTGGGAAAATTTTACCTGAGTATCATTTTAAGTCTAAAAATCTCAAGATTTTTGGCGGTCTCCTCTTGACTGGGCACTCGGGATACCAGGCACTTAATGGCTTTGATGATGGCAGACAGCGCGTCATTTTTGGCTTCATTTTTGGCCTCTTTCTTTAATTCCTCATCAGTAAGATTTTCTAGAAAGGCTGGAACTACCTCCTGTTGGTTGTGAAGCAAATAAATAACATTAAAAACTATTATTATGCTGATATTTAAGTAAATCATTCTACTTATCTGCAATGATGCAACCAAGCACATCGCTAATGTGTACATTTTCCAAGTCCTTTAAACAAAGTTGCCAGTTTTTTTAAACACCTGGATAAATGAGCTATAGACTTCAAATTTGCACATCCTTGTACTTACTACAATAGGCATGAAGTATTTCTCTATAGTAGGTACGGTGAGCATCTCAAAGCAGAGGCCAAATGGTCGCAGGAGCGCACAGATTACTGGAACCGAGAGATTCTTCCCCGACTGGAATCTTTCTAAAAGGATTTGGAAGCCACCAAGCTTGCCAAACAGGTTGATAAGGTCGACAAGCCAACCTCTGGGATTTCTGGGGTCAGGTGGTCGGGCATATAGTTCATAGTCGGGGATCTGTGACCCTTGTGGTACTGTTTCTGAAGGGCGTGTTCCATTAAAGGTATGAAACCTAAAAGAAGAGATTTAGGTAAGCACATTTGTATAATTCTAAATAATTTAAATATATTCTAGATTACTATGCTCAACATGGAAAACTAAAAGAAATGTAAATGAAAAGTAGTATTAACCAATACATATAGGGGCATATGAACAATGCCAATAGGTTACCAATTGCAAGTCAATTGTAAAATGACAACATATACACAAGGGACTGAAGTGTTTGAGTCTCCGGAGAAAAATAACTAATCATGGTGGCATTTGATCTCAGAATTTCAAGCAAGGTTGAATATGTTTACAGTTGGGGAAAATACAATTTGTTTAAGCCTTGTTATATAATTTTCTTACTTACTTGGAATTAGGGCTGAGCACCATAGCAAGAAGGTCAAGTAAAGGAAACCAGTCCTGGTGCAGTTTTACAACAACTAATTCTATTAACTTCTCACAGTTCTTGAGGATACATCTCTGCAAATTAGAGAACAAAATTTTCAAGTTGTATTTTAATATTACTGAAAAGATTCAAGGGAAGAATGAGAATGTTTGTTATTGTGGATTTAGAGTAGGCAAATCACATGCCTACAAAATCTTTAATTAACAGAAACAGCCTTGGGCAAAATTTCTAATGACTTGGTGACTAACACTTGTTCTGGGAAGTATTCCTCTTTGATCTCTCAGCTGCTTTTGATAAAGGTGATCAACAAATGCTGTTTGGTGATCTCTTAACTCTAGGTATCTCAGAGTCCACTCTGTCCACATAACAGCATCTACAAGATTGTTGCCAATGTACTATTTTAAGTTCAACAGGAATCAGCCTTGGATCTTTACTGGAGGCACAATATTGAGTACTGAACCACATTGTGGAAGCAACACAGTTTTATGTACCTATAAGAACACTAAGGATAAAGGTACAAAATGGGATTTCTCTTATTTAACAAAGACCCATCTAAGTTTCATTAAACACTTAAACTTATTGAGGAGTAAGTGCAATTATCACAATATTAATTATTTTGCTGTAGAGAGATTTATGGAAAGAAAACCTTTTAGCACTTTGGGGAAGCTATTAACAGTGGTAAAAAGACAAAATCAAGTGCATAAACTGTTTTCTTTAAGGGAAAATTGCAGAGCAAGATGTGCACCTGTACAGTCAACAGCAGAAGTTCATCCCACCCCATTTGCATGGTGATCTGTCAACTCTTCCCCACAGTGTTACCAGATCACCTGCCTCATATCATGAAATTGGTTTGGGACGAACTTCTGCTATTGACTGTACATGAGATATTGTACTGTACTAAGCTTAGTATAAAAAAAATTGTTAAACAAGGGCAATCTGAAAAAAAAAAAAATAATTAGATAAAATAATTAAAAATATGCCATAGTAAGTGGTGTATGCCAGATACATAGCAAAATAATTTACCAAATGACTGCTCACTAAGCAGGTTTTGCCCCTGATAATGCCCATTACAAAACAATACCAGATTGGTGTTATTGTTGTGGCATTTTGATAACAAAATTTCCCCTTACTCAGCAGATCTTAATACTTAGTAGTGCTCATTACCAGACTGAAAACCAGCCTGTTAGTGAGAAAGACCTGCCAACAAGAGGTTTTTACTATATCTGTTCACTCTGAGTCTAATCTAATATATATACAGGAACAAAACATATGACCATACAGACCACAGATATTGAACATAACTAATCAGAATTAAAAATATAAAGGATAAAGACATAAAACTAAGGAACAAGGGGAATCATTTTTGGACTACTCAGAAAAAAAAATATCTACTTAAATTTAACTTTATATAAATACATAACAGAATTATACAGTGTACTAACATGAATTTCAAACTTCCAGCTGTTAACAGCCTCATCAGTGAGGATTTTGGTGAAAGAAATGGTCAGCCCTTCCCTGAAGAATCTCTGACATGCTTCACTCCTTGTATCTACACCTGTAATGAAATTGCACACAGAAAGAACATAATCACTAATAAATGCAGCATTATGCACCTTGCACCATTTCAATATTAATTACCACCATGGCACACAGCATATCAATTTATCTATCACAGATTGTTTTGGGTCTAAATATCTCCCAAATGTAAAAGCCATCATTTCCTGTATTATAAAATGGGTACAAATATTTTGATGTTGAATATAATCATATAAATGTAGCTTAATTTTTACAGTAATAGAACAATTAACTTACTGTTACATTATATACAGGTACAGTATTGTTCTGTCAAATAACTTTAAGTTCAGAGGAGATCATTACAAGTAGGAACTTGTCAAAACATTTCAGCTACAAACTCTCTCCAACCTTCAAGTGTTAAAAAAAACTTGCCATGCCAACTAATAAGCATGTACACACTAACCACGTGTACAGAGATCGATGGAGGCTTCCAGCAACAGTTCTAGCTCACACTTGGGTAAGACCGGGACCACCCATCTTTGTCTGTGAATCATCTCATCCAGTCGGGCCAAGGCAGCCAGGGGGAAGTCTGGCTCCCCACCCCCCAAATCCTCACCTTCACCATCACCCAATACTTCTCCATCACCACCCTAGGAATATAATAATAAAGTCAGCATGGACAGTACTGTACGCACTACACCACTCAAACAGAATACTGTACACCACTACTATAGTGCTTTTTTTCTCAGCTGAGAAAAGATGCCCCGCCCCCTCCTCAAGAGTTACAGCTGATTGACTGTTGCAAATCTGTTCGATTTCGTCCTGAAGTAATGATCTATTTCTAAATGAGTTAATTCATAATCATTGGGATGACCGTTTTTGACGAGAAAGATATTTAGCTAAATTATATAAAGATACATACATTCATTATTTGAAACAGGAGCACGTAGGTAGTTTATCAGAAATATTATACATGAATTAACTGTTACTCTGGTAACAAATTCACGCTTTCGGAGGATGCATTTAATATATACTTATTTTTACCCACAATAAGGCATATTAAGACAAATTACATATCAGTAAAACTACATTATTCAAAAACTAACATTTTAAAAGTTGAGAATCACACTGAAATTTTACACAACCCCTGAAAATTGTTGGATGAGTGTGACAGACTTGGCCACTACAGCGAACAGCCGTCAGTAGAGGTGGGAAATATAACTGAACAAACAACTTCATATTTCAGTGATTCTGAACTTTTTAAAACATTATTTTTTGCAACAGCCAATCAGCTGTAACTCTTGAGGAGGGGGCGGGTCATCTTTTCTCAGCTGGGGAAAAACGCATTATAACCATTACTCTATTGGATATTAAAAAATAAATAAAAAAATTATATATATATATATATATATATATATATATATATATATATATATATATATATATATATATATATATATATATATATATATATATATATATATATATATATATATATATATATATATATATATATATATATATATATATATATATATATATATATATATATATATATATATATATATATATATATATATATATATATATATATATATATATATATATATATATATATATATATATATATATATACTGTATATTTTTTTTTATGAAAACATTACTAATTGTATGGACAATTGGACATGTTAAGTATCTTAAATGTCTTAGCCTTGAAATACATAACATGGGATATATAAGCTATATAAAAGTATAGTACAGTATAGTATACTGTACTGTACAATATATACAGTAAATTTATGAAATGCTCCAACATCACCTGTGGTGGAGTGTTTGGCGGTCCCTCCTGTGGATCCTGATTGGCTATCATTGCGATGGTCATAGCGCTGTCGTGTGGCACCGGCGTGGGCCTTTCCCTCACCCAGCGGCACGACCAGATGCCACAGCCCTAACCATACATCCACTTTGGGCTGTGGAGAAGAAAATTAAATTATAATTACATACTCGTAACATATAAACTTAATTACAATGCATTTTTGCAACCACTTACTTTTTCCCTGGAGGTGGCTAACAAAGTTTCAAGTTGCAGCAGCACTTGACTGTTAGCTATTTGTTCAAAAAATATAAATAAACTTATGCAAGCCCTAAAATACTGTACTAAATACAACCCAAACACCACTACTGCATTAAGCCCATTAACCTTCTCGTGGTCTTTCAACACAGATTGTTTCTCTAAGCGCTCTAGTACTGTGCTGGCCTGACCCCTCCCATTCAACCATATTTCACACTGAGAACACCCATCCTGTAAGCAGAAATGCTGGAATGGTAGATCGGCCCTATCAACCAACTAAGTTCCTCCCATTAGCCTTGTGGGCTGGCAGGTGCAATTTGGGTCTGGATTGCTGTAGCCAATGTTTACTTCGGAAAAACTGCTCCTGTTGCCGACGCAACCTTTGTCAAAAGATTGCAAATGATGCTATTTGTGTCAAAAGACCATAAGGGGTTAAGATTTTTTACCATGGCCAGAAGTACCATTGGGTTAAATGAATGTGGGGCTGTCAACTTGTGCATAAAAAAATGAATACAGGTACAGTATACTGTACAGTACTAAAATAAGTATACTGTATAGTAATCAAATGATATGATAAAGTAATACACAAATGTTTAAACAGAAGTGTATGGATGTAAAGCTTTACAATAACAAATAGCCAAGTAAAAAGTGGCACAGGTCCAACAACAATCAACACATGCAATGGACGAGTTGACAGTTCTGGGTAAACACAAGAAATACACTCTGCCACGTTCGTAGAGTGATACGGTATATATAATTTGTAATAAAAGTTTAAAGTCCTGCTATAATAGTCGAGATAAGTTTATTTCTCTAGAAACAAGGCCACCATTTGCATTGACGTCACTCCCTTAAAACTCATTGCTGCAGTCGGAGACTCAGAGGTAGTAGAAAGGATCTTTGGAAAAGATGGCCTCTTCAGACACCAAATGCCAAGTTCAGGTAAGTTTTAAGGGTGTTTTTGTTGGTCTAGGTCATGGACAATTGGTAAGCGAAGAACTGTTCCGTGAAGAGCAGCTTCAAACATAGGTTGGATGGATATATGAGCAACAGGGGTTGGGTGTAAATGGGACTACCCAGTCTGGGCCAATAGGTCCACTGCAGTTTCCTCCATTCTTATGTTCTTTTGGACATAAAAAACACCCATGTTTACACCAGCTCAGCTCATGTATTCTTACCTGGAAGACTTTTTTTTTCAGTGCATTTACAGAGTGTATCAGTGCTAGATGTAGATGGAGATACGAGTAAATTTAGAAGTAATGACATTGTCTGGACTTTGTTTTGAGAATGCCTGATGACAACATAGTGCTGTTATTGTTTTCATGATTTACTAATGAACCACTGGGATATATCATTTATATTAATTAATGGGTAAAATTTTACTTTAACTACCAAAAGTAAACATTTTGAATTTTAGATTCGAGATAGGCTATATTGGGTAAATTTTAAGTTTTGGTCATCCCTGTACTTAGACATGCAGACTATGTTTTTGTTTTCTGATGGTTTGCGGTGTGTTATGAACAATTTAGACCTTAATTTCTACCGGAAATCACTAGTTTTAAGTTTCTACCCCACCCTTACCGATGTATGTTAAGCTAACCTCATAACCTAACCTAACCTAGGGGCGACCTGATAGAGGTGTATAAGTGGAAGTCAGGGCTAAACAAAGGGGACATTACAAAGGTACTCAAATTATCCAACCAGGAGCGAACTCGTAACAATGGTTTTAAATTAGACAAATTTAGATTTAGGCGTGAAATAGGTAAACACTGGTTTGGAAACAGAGTAGTGGATGAATGGAACAAGTTACCAAATATCATCATTAACTCGAATACGCTGAATTGCTTCAAACATAGGTTGGATGCTTATATGAGCAATAGGGGTTGGGTGTAAACGGGACTGCCCAGTATGGGCCAATAGGCCCGCTGCAGTTTCCTCCATTCTTATGTTCTTATAATCTGTACAGTATTTTCTTATGCGATCGAAAAATGTTTTGCGACAGAAATCCTGTAGAGATAATGTGTCTTATTGTTTAAGGTAGGTGCTGGATTCTGTCATGGGGAAATATCATCGAGCAGCAAGAAACCATCTTTTTCTTTTCTTCTTATCTTTTGGTATTGTGATGAATATTTTGCCTGGTGAGGAATTGTCAGTACTCTTGCACATTGGCACGAAGCACTAACGACACTTTGTCCTTTGCTTGAACATTGTATATGGCCACAAGTCCTGTATTTATGTAGGTAGCAACACATTCCACAGCTGGCTGATTCCCGGTCTGCGGCTCGCCACAGCAAGTGACGTCACAAGCAATCACAGAGCTTTTCACAGTCACGTGACTTTTTAGCAACTTTAACCCTTATTTTTTTACACTTTTTGGCTTCATTTATTTAAAAATATCATTACCATAGTGAATTTAAGCATTTTCTTTACCCATTGATCTGCCATCTTGCTTAAAAATTCCAACCATCAACTCGTCCATTATAGGATTCCACAGAACTGACATAAAAGATGATAAAAGAAATACTGTACAGTTGGGTCTTCATTTACGCAGTCAATTGAACCAGTGGAGTACCGCGTAAAACAAGAAACGCGTAAATGAAATAACAGAACATATGGGATTTATTGAAATAGAGACTGGGCCAACCCTCAAACTCCACTTTTTCCGACACAATATGTACCTTGTAGTCAAAATAACATCTTAATTTTATGATGGTATGCACACACAATTAATAATTTAGAGAAATATCAATAATATTAGGTTTTTTAACACTTACGTTAGTAGAAAAGATGGCTGGGCACACAGGGATGGGAGGTTGGTTCCGAGGCAGAGGGCAGATTATTGGCCCTCACCTGTATCACTTGTATCAATTGTATCACTATCCACCACATAGGCTTGCAGAGCCTCTTTGTCAAACCCCTCAAAGTCCATATCCTCACTATCACTGACTTGGGCCAGCTGTAGTGGGTGGCGGGTGAAGAACTCGGTAATGTTTTGCTGCCCGCGCCGCTTCCCGCGTAAGTGACCAAATTTACCACGTAAATAAAGCATTTTAATTCTGGCAAGGCACCGCGTAAATGACCAAACGCGTAAACAAAAACCACGTAAATCCAGACTCAACTGTATAATACAGTACATGTGTGTTATGGATACACAGAACATATTGTTTGTTTATAAAAACTACTGGGTTAACCAGAGGAAGTAGGAATATGGATATCACCTTTGTGATCCAACAACACTTGTCTCAAAATCCAAAAGTAATCCTATTCCAATACATATTTCCTCTAATTAAGTCATGAAGTTACCGGATGTGGTGTCAGCACTGCAAAATCAGTGACAAGCACAGTACAGTACAGTACTATGAATAGAAGATTTTTTGGGGTTCCACAAATTTACCACCATAGCAAATGGGATCTGATAATTTCAAGCAAGCTTCTGTTGTCAAGAAGTTAATCTTATCCTCATAGTCAGTCTCTCCCCACTAAAACTGTGTGCAGGGGACAGCATGAGCAGTACCTGAGGAATGGACGAGTTGACGGTTCTGGGCAAACACAAGAAATACACTCTGCCACATTCGTAGAGTGATACAGTTTATATAATTGTAATAAAAGTTTAAAGTCCTACTATAATAATCGAGATAAGTATATTTCTCTAGAAACAGGGCAACCATTTGCAATGACGTCACTAGTTTTAAACTCACCGCTGCAGTCGGAGGTAGTAGAAAGGATGGCCTCTTCAGACCCCAAATGCCACATTCAGGAAAGATTTAAGGGTGTTTTTCTATGGTCTAAGTCATGGACAATTCGTAAGTGAAAAAATGTGCCATGAAGAGCAGCTTCAAACATAGGTTGGATGGATATATGAACAATGGGGGTTGGGTGTAAATGGGACTACCCAGTCTGGACCAATAGGATCACTGCAGTTTCCTCCATTCTTATGTTCTTTTGGACATAAACACCCATGTTCACACCAGCTCAGCTGTCATGTCCTCTTACCTGGTAGACTCTCTTTTTTTTCAGTGCATTTACAGAGTATACCAGTACTACTGTAGATGGAGATACGAGTAAATTTAGAAGTAATGACATTGTCTGGACTTTGTTTTGAGAACGCCTGGTGCTAGTTAACATAACATAGTGCTGTTATTGTTTTGATGATTCACTTATGAAACACTGGGATATATCATCATTTATATTAATTAATGGGTAAAATTTTACTTTAACTACCATAATTAAGTATTTTGATGTTTAGATTCGAGATAGGCTATATTGGGTAAATTTTTAGTTTTGGTCATCTTTGTACTTAGACATGCAGACTATGTTTTTTTTCTGATGTTTGTGACATGTAATGAACGATTTACCTTCATTTCTATCGGAAATCACTAGTTTTGAGTTACCCCCCCCCCTTACCGACGTATATTCAGCTAACCTTATAACTCATCATACCCTACAGAAATCCGGTAGATTTAATTTGTCTTATTGTTTAAAGTACTTAATTAGAATCTTAAGGTTCCCCAGATGACCAATACCAAAATAATACCAATATTGTTTGGAAAGTTTATACTGGACTATGAAATTTGTTGTATGGGCAGCTAATATCCATTGAATTAGTTGTGTCCTTAGTAATATTATATATTCAAAATAGTATAACTGTGTTGCACAGTAATGAACAATTAATTATCTAATAATATCTATTTACAGAGCCGATCAGCCGAAAAGGTTGGACAACTACAGCTGGCTGTCTCCCGCTGGGAAGTTCACCCCAACCAGTGACATCACAACCAATCACAGAGCTTTTCAAAGTCACGCGACTTTTTAGCAATTTTAACCCTTATTTTTGACACTTTTGGCCCAATTTATTTAAAAATATCATTGCCATAGTGAATTTAAGCATTTTCTTTACCCATT